ATTTTAATTTAGTATTTATTTGACCGCACCCCCCGATTAACTCCTTTTCGTAATAAATAATAGTAAAAATGATATCTCGATAATCATAAAGTATCGGTTATTTCTGTTAAGTTAGTATTTACTAAATGATAACGAATTCTAATAACAAACAGGTTATTACTGTAACTTGTACTAGTGCAAGTTAGCGTTATTCCGTTAAACGTAATAAATAATATGAAAAGGAGTTGATTGGGGTGGTGCGGTCAAATAAATACTAAATTATAGAAATAGTATTATTTAATTTAAATCCCACCAAATTACCTTTACCCTTCGTCGTAAACCAACGACTTCCTGTCGTACAGTTTCCTTTAACAATACTCCACTTATCCTTGTTGAGTAAATCCGATACCTAGGACTCCACCTGGACAAACGACTAACTTGTAATCCTCAAACTAGACTGAAACCGGTCGATCTTTCCGATTACTTCAGCAACTACTATACAAACGCTCTAAACTTACAATTAATTACAAAAGACTCATATACATGACTATAATAAGGCCTATTTGGACTTACGGAGTTGAGCTATGGGGCTCCACTAAACCATCGAATTCCTCCCGTATCCAATCCAAAATCCTTCGTAAAATCCTGAATGCTCCCTACTTTGTTACAAATAAAACCATCCATAATGACCTTAATGTTTCAGATCTGGCCCAATCCAGATATCTATCCTTCCATAATAAACTTCAGAATCATACCAACCCTCTCGTTTCTAACCTTGCTTCCTCTTCAATTCCTGATAACCCTCCGAGGCGTCTGAAAAGAAGATGGCCCCTGATCTCCTAATGTAGTCATATCATTAGAGTGCTACCATTGGGTAGTTACTCAGCAACTGTTTTCACATCATTATATCCATATGTTCAAATTTACTAGATGTATTTATTTAATACAGTTGTAAATATCATTAAGAAATAAAAAAAATTAATTAAACCCCCTCCCTCCCCCCAATCAACTCCTCACATTATATCATGGTCAACCATCTCTACATCGTAATAAATAATAATAGTTTAAATGATATTTCGATATTCATAAAGTATCGGTTATTTCTGATAGGTTAATATTTACTAAAATGATAACTAATTCTAATAACAGGTTAAATTAATAAGTTTAGCCAGGTTCCTAAACTCAGAGTTGAGTTTATCGGAAGATCTAATTCAGTAACAATGGGCACCGATTAAATGCTAAGTTTTGAAATATAGTCGAAATCAACATACTAAATATGAAAAACAACATTTCATTAGGTAAAACATGAGAAATATTTACCTAATGAAATGTTGTTGGTTGAGTTTAAAAAAATAAATAAATAATATAAAAATTGAATGGGTAATAAATATTCGGGACAGTCTTTTTTAAAAAAAAATTTAATTTTTTATTCTTGCCTGCCAACTCTCAACCCAAACATGTGGGTCATCTTCAGGGCTGAAAATTTTAAAATAATCAGAGATATATATATTATAGAAAAAGCAATAGAAAGAAAATAACTTTTTAATGGGACAAAGTCCCTTTGGAATAACAAAACAGAACATAATTAAAAGACTACATCTAGCCAAAATAAAACAATAATAAAAAAAGAGAAAGTAAAGAAAATATTAGTTAAACAAGCTATATACAAAAAAAAATTATATACAAAACACTTAAAACTATGTACAGTAGGAAAAATTATAATTATACACTTTTGAAAAATAAAATAATAAAAAATACATTGAGTTCTTCTTCAAAATGATGTGTTTTTCTGCTAACAAAGGAAAGACAAAGCTCACAATATAAAATATCAGAGTATTTAAATTATGAATAATATGTAGACTCATCATTGTCTAATTCTAGCTATAGGTACAGATTTAATTATATAAGAATAAAAAAAACCAATAGATGCATTCAGTGGCATTAATAGCAGGAAGATATTGTAATATCCCTAGTGAATTTTACAGTATAGAATAGTACTATTGTTTGATGATGAATGATATAATAGAAATGTATAATATCAGAAGCTTACATGTTTTTAAATGTTTAATATCAAAAGTTATACGACCGATAATGGTAAATAATAAACTATAATGATTAGATGGTACTTAACTATTATTACAATACACAATATTAAAAATGAAATATGTAAAAAGTTATACAAACTAAAAATAATACATATAATCTATTTATAAAAATTTGTAATATTTTCTCTTATTAACTGTGGTTCGAGCACTGAATGCTTTCAAGTACTGACACATTTGGTAGGTAAGTGGAAAGGTCAGGGTAGGATTTCCCAGTTGTCTTTTTTCAGATAAAAAAAGATAGGTAAACACAGTCAAAGGGGGAAGAAGGTAACATTTCTGTTAGTAGAATGTACATAATTTGCTGACTAAATATTTTAGATGTGTACAAGATTTGTGTTGTTTCTTATGGTTACAAAATTGTGAATATTGGCTAGTAATGAAATGAACATAAGCAAGAGGTGCCAATCAATATAAATATAACATAGTTTGATTGAAGGTATACAATGGTTAGCCAAATAATATTTATAATAAAGACAATTGTAATGGATTGAAAACATACATAAGAAAATATATTATACAGTATTTTAAATATAACAATATTAATCATAATAGAAGTATGTATTATATTAAGAACTACATAGTCTGACCACAAACACATCTATATTGAGAATGGGCAATGTATATATATATACAGATATGTATAATACACGTAGGAGCAACCATCTATGTAAGTTGACGGGAAAACTATGTTTTTTATAAACTTTTTTTTTACAAAAAGACTGCGGCCTGAATATTTTTCACCCATTGATATGTAGTCGAGTAGCTTCCTTTGATAATTTATAAAAATTGAACTTAATATAAATATGTTGAGGTTATATCCAGCGGATCCATCCACTCCAAAATCTGGTGGAACCAATGAGCTATCGATGATTCAATGGATGAATAAAGGAACGTGCTGAATTTCATTTATTAATCCATTGATGGGTTAAGGAATTGAACCCCTAAGAAAGAAAGGCCTGATGGATTTCCGATTTAATAGAGCTCAGCACTCAGTATAGGAACTATTCATTATACAGATAAATTCCTTTTCATATTAATAAGGAATGAAGCCTTCTTAATTTATTGGAAACTACAATATTCCACTTTAATTATTGTGATATAATGCGATCAATCGTTCGATTAATGTGTATTTATTATATTAATAAGGGCGAAATCCTCTTGACTCACTGGAAACAATGAATTGTGTTAATTTTAATATTTATTAATATTACAATTAGCTTAATATTAATCCTAATTTAACTTAATCTCAAATCACGCTTTGCATAGCAAGAAGATGTTTAAATTAAATTTCTCTATCCATTTTATAATAAAGACAATTATAGCTTTCTGTATCTGTTACAGAGAACTGTTTCTGTCTTTATAAAAAAAACTATTCAAATTAAACAGGTTTCTGTATATTTTACTGAGAGTTGTCTCTGTTTCTATAAAAAAAACCTATTCAAATCAAACAGCATTCTGGAACTGTTAAAGAGAGCTGTTTCTGTCTTTATAACAAAAAAAAAAACTATTCAAACTAAAGAGCTTTCTGTATCTCTTGCAAAAATCTGTTTAAATTCTTTCATTTGTGTTGTAACGAAATTAATCACCACAATTATGAATAATGGTTAATAACTAACATGTTATCGGTACATCTTTACTTTTCATCTTTGGTTTAGCCGACCGATTTTAGAAATAAATGGTTTTCAGGTAATAGAACAACTGTTATTCATGTTTTTTTTTCATGTAGTTTTTTTTTTTAGAGTTCAATCAAAAAGAAAAATTACATTTCAATAACATATTTTAATAAATATTAGTGTAGTCTGTAAAGTTTTATGCTCAAAATCAAATTGGTTATTTTCTCGTTTCTTGATTTAATATTTAAGAAATATTTTTGTTATAAAAGCATTGTTATTATTAAATATTGTATAAAAATTAACTTTTGCAAATAAAATTAACAGTTAAATGGCATAAAGTACTGCCATTTTGCCTAAAAAATTAAAATAAAAAATATAAGGGTTGGGAGAGGACTGATTCATCTCCCCTGCTCTAACCAAGAGGGACTCTCAAATTTCGTATTGTGCTCAATATAGCCCAAACACCTGCAATTATATTGAGACTCTTTTTATAACATAGAAGGAGCTTTAAAAAATTTAAAATTAACCAGTTTGATATAGTTGATATATATTTATCAAAAAAGCCTTTACACCATCAATATATTGACAAAATTTGATATTGACATAATAATATACACCATGTAAGTCAATAATGGGATTATGGAAGTAACATAACTTAAATGCTATTTTTAAGTAGTGCATTATTTTAGACCTTATGTTATTTTGACCACCGGCGGATTTTTGGGAGTAGAAGGGGGAGAGCTTCCAATATAGGAAAATAATTTTTGCAATTGGTCCATATTTGTTTCTATGAGTGGTCAGAATTAAATAGTTAAACAATCAAAATATCTTCTCCAAATTATAATGCATATAGGAACAACTACTAAATGTAAGCACGGGTCAAAGAAATATATATTAAAACTTTATCCCTGAAATCATTATTGTTTTTTATCATTATAATCATCGTTATTGTAATTAAGGTTTTTTATTTTATTTTGTTAAATCATATCATATAGTTTTTTCATAAAAATTTAAAAAAAAAAAAGACCCCCAAAATTTAATTCTGTATCCATTCCTGATTTTTACTGATTGTGTAAGGATATTTTATCAAACTAATAAAATATTTTCTATATTCATATATTTCTCCTTCATAGAATTTAGGATTAAAGATCCATTAACTTTTTTAAATGAATCAGATTTAAATAAAATTACAACAAGAATTCCATAAACGAAAATAGATACACTTATTGCTACCCAAAATACTAATTAGTGAGAGTACATTGTATTATGAAGTATAAAATTTTAATTGTTAAAATAATTTGTCATTGTATTCAAATTATATGCCAATTACGAGAGAAAATGAGAAAAATTAAAAGTTAACCTCTAGCTTTTTCTCATTATGTTATAATCTTCAGTGTCTTATTGTCACAAATCTTGAAATGGCAGTCCTCAGTAAATCATCTATTAGAAATACAAAAAACCTCAAATGTTCGGAAATTATTCATCCATGGAGTAAAAGTTGTATTAATGGAAATGCAGAATTTATTTTTGTATCAATCAAAGGGTTGTCCTTATTTTATGCAATGATGTATGGGGTAAGTTTAACTTTAAATATATCAACATAGCAATACATAAATTTTATAACATATAGTTTGTATAATTTTCTTTGAAAATTCTTATTTAATGAATAATTAGATATCATCTTCACTTATTACAGTTGATTTCGTATTCAGCAAGGTTTATAAGCATATAAAATAAAATGAAAAATAAAAATATATATTTTTAATAATACATTAAATAATCAATTACTTACTATAAAAAATTATATAAGTATAATAAAGTGTAATGTTCGATATATTTTTAGTAGGAACTATATATATAGACTACATTTATTTAAAAAAATATTATTTATTTAAACAATAAATATAAAAAATATAATTTTAAATTCTATTTGTGGTAATGCATTTATCATATTAGCAGAAAAATAATAAATAGGCCGATAAAGCATATTATTTTAATGTGACATACCATTGATGTACACACTTCAGTTCCAGAATAAAATTATTTTTTATTTTAATTTTCATTATAATAAGAATTATTTATTTACTTAAAGAGTAACCATTTAAAAAATATTTTATGTAGTATTTTAATTTAAATTAAATCAGGTTTTTATTCATTCATGAAAATTAGTAATTATAGTATATAATGGAAATTAGATTTAACCTTGGAATTTGTCTTGAGTTACTGCTGTGAACATAGTTTTACAATCTAATTGTTAGGAAATTGATAAATTTGAAATAATTTACTATTTAGTTTTAATGGTTATATTATATCATATCATTTTTTTTTTTTATATAGATACCTCTTATGTTAAGGCTTAGAAAAAATCAAAAAATCAATATATTAAAAATTTTGTTTGACTTTATGAGATCATTGTCATGTGGAGTTTACTATGCCTCATCGTTTATATTTTTCAACTGTCTGTTCCAGTAGGTAATTTGATGAATAACATTTTTATTTATTTAAATTCTATTATCAAATTTATATTAATCTGTTTTTATCTTAGTAAAATATTTGGGAGGATCAATTCTATCGCTTTTCTTTTTGTTGTTCCATTCCTCTGTGGATTCTCAATATTCTTAGAGATTCCTGAAAGAAGAGATATAACTGTCACTACTTTTGTATCAATGGTAAAAAAAATTAAGATAATTTCAATAAATAAATTACCCATTAAATATGTGAGGTTGATTATATTTAATAAAGTAATGAACAATAGTTAATAAAAATTAACATTCTTGGTGCAGGCATGATTTTGTGAAAATATCTCCTTGTATAGCTGCAATTTTAGTTAGTTATTTTAATTAGTTATAACATTTTGCCTTTTTTTGAAAATTTGAAAAAAAATTAACTTAAATTACCTAATTAGAGTAATTTCTGATCTATTTTAAACCCGCAATTAATTTCAGTTCTTATTATAATTTCACCATAATTACAAAATATTTATTAATTTAGTTAATAAGAGCAAATAAAACAAAGATAAAAAAGTTTATTACTGCTCAAACTATAATTTAAATATAAATTTTTAAGTCTTTACAATTTTTTAAAAAAGTTTTGTATTTTATATTCTTTTATATTTATATCCTTTCTTAAATTGATTTTTGTCTCAAATTTAAATGAAAACTCTTGTCCAAACATTGATAAATTTATATTAATATTATTCTAGTTTGTGTAGTCTTGAAATATAAAATTATGAGATATGAAAAATAAAGTGAAACTTTGTGAGTTTATTACTATTCATAACAATAGAATGTACCTTGAAATTATTCTGAAATAAAAAAAAATAGCTTAGTGAAATTATTCAGAAAAATGTACACTTCCTTGTAAAACTTTGAAGAAAATTAAAGTTAATAAAACAGATTGTTTGTGCAGTACACTGATACAGTGATCTCAAGAGCACTGTAGAAACAACAATGATAATCATTTTAAAATTTTCTGTTGGAAACTTTGTTCATACAATTGTCAAAAGAGGGCATTATCTCCAATCTAGAAAAAAATGGAATCTTTAAATCAACATGGAAGCTTATTATTTACATTTAAAGTCCAACTGGTCTATCACTGGGCTCCCTGTCCATAACTGGTGCGTTCATCCTAGTTAAAAATTCATCTTTAACCAAAATAATAAAAAAATTACCTGCAAAAAAAGACAGAAGTCTACTGAAGTCAATTGACACTACCTAAAGTAAAAACAAATAATTCTGACCAGGCATAGTGGAGTCCCATAATACCTTATAATTATTATGCCTTATAATTATGGCTCTTCTGCACCGATTGTATTAATTAAAAATAAAAATGAATTTATTTATTTTGTACAATCACATTTTATCCTTAAACTGACATTTCATGAAATGAAATCCGATATGACAAAAATTTAAAAGAATGTTTTCAGATTTTTATAAAAATTAAAATGTAGTTAACCTCACACACATTAATTTTTACAAAACCAATAATGAAATAATTCTTATGCTTCAATACTCGTCTAATAAACCATTTTTTAAGTTTTTAGAATGCTATTATAAACTGTTATGCAACAACAAAATAATTATGAGATCGAAGAAATTTGAAACCCTATTATTCATGTTAGTGAATGCACTTTTGATGTATTCTCTGAGAATACGTCAAGATTTGAGCAATAGAAAAGAAACTTTGTGGTAAATATATATTATATATATTTTTTAAGGCAATAAAATATCTGAAGTTTATGTTAAGTTAACTAATTTAAATCTGTCTCTATTTTCCTAAAACAATTTGAATTTATTTTAATAACCATAAATTCTTTTCAATTTATATAATAATAACATTAGCTTTATTATAATTTATTAATGTCTCTCTAATTCAGTAAGCTGTGAAGTATTGAATTCTTTGAAAAGTATTACCTAATTATAACAACTGATACAGTTGTGAGCTTATTTTCTATTAAAAGTTCAAATCAAGCTTAATTACATATTTTCCAAATAATAGTTATTTTATTATTATTATATTTTTTTTACTTTGTAAAAATTTAAATGTTTGAAGCATCTTATTGTTTTAATTATGGTTAAGGGTTTCCACACTTTTCATAAAAGTCTTTTTTACTTATGTATCACCAGTTACTTTTTTGTCACTTATTTAAAACTGTCACAGATTTGTCAATAGACATGATTTAATAAATTACTATGATTATACTAATGAGTTTATAACCTAAATCATTAACCTATTGTTTTGTTTAATGTGATTTTTTTTTTTAAATGAACTTCTGAAAATTAAATAACATTCTTTCATCATAAATAAAGGGCATCAAAATGATGAATAAGAAAGGAATATTACATAGAAAAAGGAAATATTCCTGACGACATTTTTTCATGTCTGGAATATTTATACTTTGTGGTTTAGTGTTAAAAGAAACAATAAAATATAGGGTGGGACAAGCTTGACTCATCTTTGTGAGTTTGTTTGGAGATTGGAGATGATTTGACTTTCAAATATTTATTATTTTCAAAGTCAACATATTTTTTGTATATTTATTATTTAATATTAATTTTCAATAAAACATTTATTCTTTTATGACTTATGATTTCTAAATTATAACTGTTATTTTACAAATAGCAACTGTTACTAAAAGTAATTAGTGATACATAAGTAAAAAATACCCATAATTAATACCTGATTTCATAATATGCAGGTTTTTTACACCAACTTCAACTACACATGAAGACACTTCTGAGAATATCCTTCAAAACAATAATGAAAAATACTCTCAAAAATTTTCCTACACCAAAAATATTATCAGAGTAATATTTAAATTAAATTAAAATGATATATTTCTTTTAATACCTTTCTTAATTTTTTTTATTCATTTTTTAGAATTCTCTGAAGTACAGTTCGATAGGATTGGCCTTATCAGTAATAAAGTTCTTAGTTTATAAAGTGATGTCGCCTTTGAACAATCAAGAGTCATTTTTTAGATGGAAAAGCTTACGACTACCATTTTTTATGGGTTCATATGTATCCACTTTTGAGGTATATTATGTCCATAAAAAGGATGTTTTGTTTACCAGTGTTTTACATTTTTTTAATGTTGTGAAATTCATTTATCAAAATTTTTTGAAAAATACAATTTTTTAATTTTGTTTTATTTACAATGATTTAAAAGAACTAGTCGAAGATATCTTTTTACCTGGCATTACCTACTGTTCAAATTGGATGTCTCAAAAAATACTTTTTTATTTATTTAATTTTTTACAGGCTTTGAGTTATTATCTGTACAAAAAAGAAGGTAATTACCATTATTATCAAACATTTTGGAGTGGTTTATTTTCTGGCATTTCATATTTTTTAAATCCAAACCTTCAAGTTTTGTTCACTGCCATAACCATACTTTTAAAGGTAATTATTAAGATAAAAAAAAATTATAATAAATAATTTACAATATAATTAAAAAATTGGTTTGTGCTTTTTCACATTGTCAACTTTGATTATGATCTATTCCAATTAGATTATTTTCATACAATTAAATTTTCAATAATTTATTTAGATAATAAAATAAGCAATGATTTCTAACAATTTTCAATAAGCATTATTTATAAATTTCTAGTTAACTTTTTTTTTTTTAATTTGTAGTAATTTCATATTGTTGTTCTATTCAGAAAGAGTCTTACATTTTTTAAAGAATTATCTTCACTAAAGACGAAATTTAAAAAAAATTAGAAACAAATCAGTTTTAAATTATTAAAAAAAGTGTACTACTAAAGAAAAATATTTCATATCAAATTAAAGATTTTCTCATTTAGTATCTTATCTTGAAATTTTACATACAAATAAAAAATTATAGAAATGGAAAATTGTTTTTTAATTATTATTACATTTTTTTAAATAAACCAATAGCTACCCTATTTTTAAAATTTAAAACAAAGTTGTAGAAAAATAAAATAAATTAATTTTTTTATGAAAAATTTAAGAATTGATGGTTGTGAATTTACCTTAGTTGAATTTAAAAATATTTTTTTAAACAGATAGACTAAAAAAAAAGTAATCAGATTATAATGAATCATTGTTAGAATTCACAAATATTAACAAAGATGATAAGTGATATGGAGCAAAGTTGAATTGATTTATTTACAATGTTTTATTGATTAATAAAAAAGAAATAAAAACATAACTTTTACTATATAACAACATATTTAAAAAATAAAATTTCATGAAATTCTGATTTTAGTACCAAAAGTTTTACTTAAATTATTGACATGATAATGTTCAATAAAATAAGAAAGATTATGTTTTTAGCAGCACAATTTTATTTGAAATTTGTTTTTCTAGATACAGGGAGACCAGTTGAAGAAAAAGTACAAAATGGCTAATTTTCCATACTCGGAATTCAGCTTTATAATTAGCAACATGTTTCTTTTACAAAGAATGATACTTGATCATAAACGTGTCCCTACATTTTTTTATAACATGTTTATGTTTGGCACAATGAAAAAGTAAGATATTATGTTACTTGTATTTAATTATTGATTTTATGCGTGTAATGATTTAAAATATCAATTTTTAATTTTAATGTTTCAGAGCATCTCACATGATTGATGGAATACAGAAACATTATTTAACTTGAAGATTATTAAGATTACAAGGCGTAAGAAACTGATCAGTTATCCATATTATTGTTCTTATATTATTTCTGACTCATAATCTTTACAATGTATACCTTTAGTGCCATTATTAAAATATTTGTCTAATTAAAAATCCTTAATACTTTAGTTTATCTTTTCATTTAAAAGAAAATTCCACATCCCCAATTTCCAGTTCTACAAAAAAAAAAAAAAGGAAGAAAATATTCAGACTTATTACACACCTTTCTTTGTATGTTTCTAACATAACTTTACATTCTTACAATTTCCAACTCTCAATGATTATACATAGACAACACATTTCGTGATAATTTACATTGCACAAACGGATACAGGATTTAATTTTGGAGGGATTCAGCCCAAAAATTTTATATATATATTGTAATATACACCTTTATTTGAAGAGGGTAAAAATGATTTAATAAATTAATGTTGAACAATTAAAAGGCCAGCTAATCTAGTTCTACTAGTGCAGGAAAAAGAAAATGGATGCTCTATAGTTTTTCAAGAAGGAAAATCCCGAAGAGAGGGACAAAGGTTTTTGTTTTGACAAGCAGCAGTTGTTGTGTGGTTCCAGTGAAGAGAGGATAGGAGAAGTGATCCTGGCTCCAGTGGGAAAACCCAGTAATAGTGTTACCAATTTGGAAGAGTTGTTTGGCAGAACTTTGGAAAGTGTTTGAAGACAAATGAGTTCAGTAAGAAACATATAATATAGAAAAAGGTTAGCTTGCCAATCCATATTTGACTTTATTTTAAAATCAAACAGTGTTTATTTTAGTTTGTCTGAGTTGACCTGCCTTATTATTTTAGGCCTTATTATAGTCATGTATATGAGTCTTTTGTAATTAATTGGAAGGTTAGAGTGTTTGTCTAGTAAATGTTGAAGTAGTCGGAAACGTCGAGCGGTTTCTTGTCGTTTCAGTCTGGTATGAGGATTCCAAGTTAGATGTTTGTCCAAGTGGAGTCCTAGGTAACGGATTTGTTCAACAGGGATAAATGAGGTGTTGTTTAACGATACTTTATAAAAGATTAGGTCAAATATTTCATCAAAACATATATTTGAAGATTGTAACTATTAATCATATCAAGGATTTAAAAATATAAAAAGTAACAAAATAATTTTATTAATATAAAAAAAATAAGAACAACATATAATAACAAAGAGGTTTTTATAATTGTATACCATTCTAGTAAAATATTACATAAACTAAATAATTTACTAGTAAATTTTATTAGTTGCTAAATTAATAGTTTCATAAATTAAAAAAATAATATTTAAAATAAAAAAAACAAATTATGTAATATTATAAAATAAGGCTGTGTTTAAAACAAGCACATTTGGACAAATTAGGTAATTTTTTTTTAAACAGGTAAATATTTTTTAAACAATAAATACAAGAAAGAAGTACAGTAAACCTAGTGTTTTTTTGTATTATATTTTGTTTTCATGAATATTTTTTTGTTGATTTACTTATCAACATGGTATAAAAATAAAGCTATTGTAATTTAAAGACTTATATAATATACATAGCATATAAAGAATCTTTATATTCAATTTCTTTTTTTTATATGTTACTGAAAGCACCTCACTTTTCATTTATAGTTTAGATAAAGCTAACAATTTAAGAAATATTGAAAGTAAAACAAATGTTTAGTTAACACAAGAAAAAATTAATAAAAATCTTTCAGTTTAAAAGTCAAGACACGGAGACTTTTAATAATAAGGCAAATGATATATACACTACTATAGTGTCACTGAATCAGAAAGATACAGAAAACAAAATAATATACATATATATACACACACACAAACATACAGGGTTAAGTGGCCAAACTGCAAAAATGAACTAACGACCTCAAAATAAGAAAAAAAATTTCTCTGAAGGTATGTCTACAAACACTTTGTTTAGGAGATATTCATACCTAAAGATTTTCGTTGTTATGAATTATTTACATTATATGAAATAAATAAATTATATTTATTGGTTCTAACTACTTTATTAATTAAATTTAAACATTAACATTCATATCAAATGTTGTTCAAAGTGATTTCCTTGAGCATTAAGACAGGCTCGGCATCTTTCTTCAACAGTAGCAGTGGTAGAACGGCACTGGATATGTGTTATTGTTTCACAAGATTCAATTATCCTTCTTTGTAAGGAATTAAGATCATTGACAGAACTTATTCAATCATGTCCCAATCAATGGATTGGCCGTGCAGGACCAGTGGCTTGGCCTGCACGCTCTCCTGACCTGAAATTTTTTTCTTGTTTTGAAGTCCTTAGTTCATTTTTGAAGTTTGGCTACTTAACAAGAAACACTGTGTATAAATGTATACAAAAATATAAACATAACAGTAGAGTTAATAACAAAAGCAAACATCACAAATATATCACAACAATGGCAGTTTTCTGTCAATTTTTTTTTTTTATTTAACATTTTCATTTTAATACATAAGGCAATGAAAAATATCACAGAACAATTTTTTTAACATTTTAATTTACAATTGGTTGTATCACGTGGAATGTCAGATTTTGATGAATAAATGCCGAGCACTTAATAAGTGATTAGCTTGTATGATTGGAAAATATTTCTCCAGTATAATAATACAGGAACTGGAAACTAATGTCGTTTTCTTATATTAAATTCAAACACATTAATTTCACACGAGTTTTTATTTTTAATCATTGATGGAACAACTCTCATTATCTACATCCTATTGCTATCTAATGTGCAAATTGTAATTGCAGGAATGAGAAAAATCAATTGGGTTTTTAGAAAAATATATAGAGATAGCATTTTGGACATCATTCCAATTTGCTAATCATTTACTACTTAGAGAGTGTTGTAACCATCCGAACGATTGGAAATCCGATGGTATAACATAGGGCGAGTTTTGGTGGATGAGGCAGTACCTCCCATTCAGTCTCTTAACTTTTTTCAGGGTTCATCTTACGTAGTGCCATGTTGCAGAATTACACCTTTTCTGTTGATAATCGTTGGACACTTTACAATCAAAGAGTGATTTACATGATCCAAATTATTCACAATAAAGGTCTGCATTCACCCTTTGTCCAGGTTTCAGCACTTCAAAATGAGCAGCCTGAGAATACTCAACTAATATAAGGGCCTTAGTGTAAATCCGGATCAGCAGTACTTCATGGCAATTCTTTTGGAGAGAACCACTGGAAAAAATCCTGCATTATTTTCTGGACAACCCAATACATAGGAAGAAATAATTACAATTTTATCCTTTTCCTTCATAAAGGAATTCTTATGATATAAATTTTCATTTATACTTAATATTATACTAATCAATAGTATTCGATGTACTCTGATAATACTGCCTTGTATTTGGATAAGCAAAATAAAGAACCATATTGTTTCCTTTTGTACACCTTATAAGGTACCTCTCGTTGGCGAATAAGAAAAAAATCGATCCCACTTTGATTGCCCTTTTCCCGTTGTCTTCTCCTACTTCTCCTTCTCCACTCATCACGATGAAAGTGCAAAAAGCCTCGTATAGTGGCGTTTGAAATGTTTCACCTTTTTCAATCTGAATATTAAAAAAAAAAAGTTAATATATACTGAACCTATGGCACAACACTTAAAACAAATAATATATAACAATGACATAATTCATTAAAATAAAATAAATTTACTAGTTATAAATTAAGAACTTAATTTATTACTTTCGATGCTCTCTTCTATGTCACCAATAAAACCCTGCATAATTACCTTAATATTCCATTTATTCTTGATCTTATCCCAAACAAATTCTCCAAATTTTATCAGAACCTTACCCATCACCCTAATCCCGTAGCACAGTCCCTATCTAGCACCTCCCATCTCTACAATCCTCCTGGCAGATTAAAATGGCAGTGGCCCCGTGACCTTTTGTAATATGTATATATTGGAGTTCTGGTAATGACCAGATTCTCCATTCAAGTCATGAGTGTCTGTGGTTGTAGCGCCCTTACTCAGCCTCCACTAGCTTTTAATACCAGTGAAGTGGTTGAGGGAGAAGCGCAGGGATCTCATGAAGCCTCGCCTTTTCCTCCACAAGTGGGGAAACAAGTCTGGTTCGGAGTTTCCATGACAAATTATTTATTTGTCAAGATATTATATTATATAATTGATAAGATATTATTTATTTACTTATTTTATTTTTCTATATTTCTTTTTCTTTATTATTTCTATAATTCTCAGTTATTATTTGTATGTACATATTGTGTGAATGATTCATGTAGCCTTAATATTAATGCCCTTTAATGTAGCAGAATGTATTAATATTAAAAAAAAAAATTATTACTTTGAGAAATATTAAAAAAAACAAAAAAAAAAAACTGTACCATTATAACCCAGGAAGGGTGGTCTTGAGTACTATGGGAGGAAGTACTGTTACAAGGCCAACGATTGTAGGAAGGTGATAGGATCAAGATCACAATCAACCACCAGATTTTCCCCCTTAATTAATTATTTAATTAAGAGTACCCACTTTATAGAGTTTGTGTGTGCCCCAGGAGGTTTCCCCCGATCCCAGGGTCTATCCGTGGATGATGAAAAATTACTTGTCATCAGCTGGACTCAAACCTGGGACTATGAGCTCTGGAAATCAGCACTTCCACTGAGCTACACCCATTAGAGAAATAATATAAAACAATAATTAGATATAAATTGTTAAGCCTCAAATAACAGACCAGTACAGTGATTTGCCAATTCAGGTATCATAATCACATTTCACTTCAGCAGTTTAAAGAAACAATAATCAAATAAAGTACTTCCTCTATTTTTTAAAATATCATTCCAATGATACCTTACCGCTATTTTTTTTCTCTCTTATTTTAAACTAATTAATAAAATACATATATTTTAAAAGATAAAAATTTATTTAAAAAAACCTTACAATGATTTTAGTGATCCCGAATTCATACAGCGGAGGATTATAGACCAAAACGGTACCAGAGGTTCTTGGCACTGCTTCCATTATCAATTGGTCGATTGTATACGATTTCAAGTCTACAATTTCCAAAAAGACATCGATATCCTTGAATTTTGGGGTGAGACCACATCTGATCACATTATCAGAGCATGCGGAACACTCAATGCAATCTAAAAAAAAAATTGAAATAAAATAATAATAATAATAATCAATAAGTAAAAACTGACAATTATTAAAAAAGACTTTACACTCTTCAATTTAAATTTTTTTAAAACAAACCCCTCGGCACTGGATAAACTTTTTGAGGGTGTTAACTGTTGTTGGGAATTCGGGAACCTAATACTTTTTGTGACACTGCATGACAAGAAACAATAAGAATATAGATAGCTAAAAAATTTTTAGCTAAGGACATAGCTAAGGAAATTTTTGTCTTTTTTTCCTTATGTCACCGTAATTATTTTAGGTATAAACTTCTCCGTTTGACGTTTAGAATCTCTAGGGTCTCCTTTTTCTATTTAACACTTTAAAATTGTAACACCCCGAAATTGAGAAAATATTTGTTTAACAATAAAGATAAGATAAGATAAATGTTCAACTTACTCTTAGCAAAACTGTTAGTAGGAAGATATGAAACACACCGATCTCACGAGCCCTATAGAAACAACAATGATAGGCATTTTAAATTTTCCTCTTGGGAACATTATTCATACAGTTCTCATTCAATTTAGAAAAAACTGTAACCTTTAAATCAACAAGGAAGCTTATTATTTACATTTAAAATCCAACCTGTCAATCACTGGGCCTTTAATCCTTACAATTTCAACAGTCAACTATATACCCATGACTTTTTCCTTACTTCTCTAGGAGATATGCTTATTTTATGGCATTAATAGTGAATAAAGATCAATAAAAATTAAATTTTTGAGATACAATATATAATGATTACTAACCCCCTTGAATATAGGAATGAGGTATTCCAGGTGCTATAAATATCGATTCGCCACTTTCAAGTGTAAAGTAGTTCAAGAAGTAGCACATAAATATTCCTACATCATTAGGACACCATTCGCTAAATTTTTTAATTAAATTATATAAATATCTAGTTTTATTTTCTTCGCCTGAAACAAAAAATTAAAGTTTAATGATTTATTTATGATCAAATTTACATTACATCAAATTTAAGTTTGAAATGTAGCATATTTAATATATATGCATACTTAAATTTTATTAATACAAAAAAATAAATAATTAATTTTTTTTATAAGTAAATAAAATAAAAAAAAGTGATTTATAAAAACTAATAAATATCAAACGAAAAATTATTTACTTTCGTTTTCAAGCCTTTGCAAAAAACATGTTATTGTAGTTTCCATCACATCTTCTTCCCTTGATAATATGTTAAGCAACATCTGTATGAACCACTCCTTTCTAGGTTTTATTAGATAATTCCTGATTAATTCTTTTGGTATAATCATTTCAAGCTCGGGAACTTCTGTAAAATAAAAAAAATATGCATAAGTGTATAATGATAGAAAATTGTTAAATAATCCAATAATAAGAAACAAAATTAATTTCATAACTGAAATATTAATAATAAACTATATAATAGGTATATGAGCTAATAATTTACCATTTGATGTAAACATGTAGAGAAATTTATCTTTCTTGGATTTTTAAAATATACTGCTCAAAAATGTATAGGGATATTGTTAGTTATGTATGATTTATTTTCCCTAGAATTATTGTTCTATTTTTATCATAAAATGCATTGAAAATTAATATAAACAAGATTGTATCTGACCTCCAGAAAGTTTATTAACGGTGTTTTGAAAAATAATAAAATTAATGGTTTTTAATGCTTATTCTCTGTTACGCACTACCTCTCTGCACTTATTGAACATACTGCTTATAATGTTATCACTGATTTCATAAGGAATTTGATACCATAAACATGGCAATACTGCTCTCAGTTGCTAAAGGTTAAGAAGTGGTAAATGTTAGTCAAAAAGCCTTCTCTCCACATGTGCTCAATATTGAGATGTGGAGACAATACGGCAAGGGACAGACATGAAATGTCAAGATTTTCAAGATATAAACTATTTTTCTGGTACTAGTTCCGAAGCACTACTCTTTCAGCCATCTTGGTTGATTACATGTTATCCACAATGTTTCCAGATAAGGTTAACAACAGATAGCACCATACAAATATTTCTATCATACCTTGGTGCCGTAATGTGCTGAGATCCACTAATACGTCTCGTAAGTCATTAGTCTATCATTTTTTTGAACAGAAGATTTGAATTTCATAAATAGAAATCAATCAATGATGGATATATAAAGTGAATAAATATAAGTTGGATTGTGCTGCTTTGAATAGGTAAATGTATAGTAATCAATAAAAAAAAAAATAAACTGAAGTAACTTTGAAATAATGCTTTTTACTTTACAACTGGCAAGAATCATTTTAAAATATTAAATAAGAACATAAATGAAAAAAATATATAATGTATAACTTGCCTCTCAAAAATCTTCTTATTTGTCGTAAGGGACGAAAAGCACATAGTACTTGAAGGTCATTCAAAGCAATTATCATCTTTGGCTTATGGTTCACATCTTTATAAATTCTTGGCATCCTTTTACGTAAATCTAAAGCTTGAACCTAAAATAGATACATCAATAATAACATTTGTAGTTGGCAGTTGGTTTTTTAATTTATCACTCAAAAAATTAAAGAGTCAAAGGACTTTTATTGATATTATCAAGAAAAACTGTACAACCGATAAACCAATGAAAATTTAAGTTAACATAGCTGACTTGAGTAAACTGTAATTTTATAACTTAATGTTATTCTTAAGGGGTTTTAGCCTAAGAATAAATAAATTGTAACAAAGTTTATCCAAGTGGAAGACAATTTTATAAGATAATTATCTTCCTAAATTAATTTAAAATGTAAAGCTCAGTCATGATTATTGATTAAAATTTATAGTTATATCATGCTAAATTAACCAGTCAGTCTCCCAGACTTTCAGTTTAAAAAAAAATCATGAAACATTTAACGTTTCATAGGAAAATCCTATGAATGAAACTATAGTTTTTATAAAAAGTAGCTTCTTTATTAAGTAATTATTTGAAACAACTTCAACGAGTGCTAATTATGATTTGTAAAGGATAAAGGATCTTTCCTTTAGGATTAGGCTAAGCAAGATGTGAAAGTATACATTTTGTTATTTTATATGATCATATCACCCTATTAAATACTTCCAATTAATAATAATAACACTTGCAGTATACAACATAATTCAATACTAATATTCCTATTCTGATCCTAAATGACCATCCTATCACCTTCAGCTCCTCAGTTAAAAATCTAGATATTTTCATTGATCAAACTCTTCTAGAGTCCCCATATTGCCCACATCTCTCAACAGTTAATTTGTACCCTTAAATTATTGCTTCCGTCATCTCGTACCCATACCCACACGTAGACTCCTGTACGGGTGTCTCTCGGTGAAACCCAGAGATAGACTAAAAAGAATTATGAATAGCTTTGTAAGATTTGTCAATGGAACGAACCCGGAGATGTTCCCGTGTTTCCCACTGCTATGCTGAGTGGCTCTTCCCTTCAGAAGACAGTACTTCCTAGGCACATTCCTATACCAAATAATCAATAATCATCGTCCGTCTTATGCATAAAATCTCCGCAATTTAAATCATCTTATGAATTAGAAAAGATTCAATATCACTTTTGACATAGCATTGTGATGAAGAAAGAAAATAGAAGAAATTGTTTGTTCTTATATTTATATATATATATATTATTATTGCGCAATATTGCAATATCACTGCTTAAGAAAAATAAAATAAAAGTAAGTAAATAAATAAAATAGGAAAGGAACAATAAATTAATTTTATGAGAAAACTATTGTAGTGATAAAAAGAAAAAAACTAAATAAAAATAAGTAAAAAAAAAGAAATTATTTATATTAGTTAATTAAGAGCTTTGAATGAATATTTACAGTAGTATTGTAAACTATATATAAAAACATAGAATAAGAGAAGGGGATTTACATTGTGAGGAATGTAAAAATTAAATACATATAATCTTGTAAACGGAGAAAAAAAAATATATATATATCTTTTTTTCTATGTATATATATTTAACGGAGAAAAAAAAGATATATATATATATTTATTTTTTTTCTCTGTTTACAAGATTATATGTATTTAATTTTTACATTCCTCACAATGTAAATCCCCTTCTCTTATTATATATTTTTATATATATGAGAAGGAGTTAGTCGAGGGTGCGGTCAAATAAATAAAAAAAAATTAAAATATATAAATAATTTTAATTTTTTGCCGACGTTTCCGACGTTATATTTATTTTTTATTTTATTTTTATTTTTTCAACATGTTTGTATTGCAAATTATTTATATATTTTAATTTTTTTTTATTTATTTGACCGCACCCTCGACTAACTCCTTCTCATATCATATCAACGGTCAACCATCTCTACATCGTTTTTATATATAGTTTACAATACTACTGTAAGTATTCATTCAAAGCTCTTAATTAACTAATATAAATCCACTCCCTCCAAAGTCCTCAATCCACTCCCTCTCCACAAGATCTCGACCTTCCGACCTTTACATTCCTTCTCACAGATCTGCCTCGTTCCAAAACTCCTTTATTGCTCGCTCTGTTAATTTTTGGAATTCCCTTCCTATCAAAATCCGACATTCTTTATCCCTATCTATATTCAAAACCCTCCTATTCCAATTCCTGTTCCAAAAACAGTCAGATAACCTTTTATGTAAAATTACATATTTTTTATTATTTTTTCAACAGAAAAACAGGTTTTACTGTGAAGAAGAATTTACATTTATTTATTTTTTGTATTTTTTCTAAAAGGGTTTATTTATATTTTACCATTGTACATAGTTTTAGGTATCTTAGTATGGTTTCGAGAGTTTTGTATATAGATTATTTTATTTTATTTTCTATATATTATGTATAACTAATATATTTTTTTTTTGTTTTTTTACTGATTTATCTTTATCTTTACTTTTTATGTTTGTTTTTATCTGGCCAGATGTAAAATTTTAATTTCTGTACTTTTATGTTATTCTGAAGGGACTTCGTCCCAGAATAAAATTATTTTCTATTTCTATTTCTAAATAATTTCTTTTTTTTACTTATTTTATTTAATTTTTTTCTTTTTATCACTAGAATAGTTTTCTCATAAAATTAATTTATTGTTCCTTTCCTATTTTATTTATTTACTTACTTTTATTTTATTTTTCTTAAGCAGTGATATTGCAATATTGCGCAATAATCTCACAGTATAAGTTTTATGAATACTAACTTAAAAAAGCATTATCATAAAAATATCCAAGAAAATGTTTAACAAATAACAAACATATCGAAAGTGAATTTTGTTTTTAAAAGCCAGTCATCAAATCTAGATCTTACAAAATTTGTGTTGGGACTAAAAATCAACACACAAGGGAAAAAATAAATAAGTCAATTTGATATATATCTATTCATATCATTAGAGAGGATGTTTCAGTAGTTTTTTTTTTTTAATTAAACATAAAAAATGGATAAACATTGCAAAACATACCTTGGACGGATGAACTTGAATTGGTAATGCTTTATTAACTGAAACTACTTTAAATAAAAAAGGTAAACACCACATTTCACTAGTCAGTCCTCCGATTACATGAGTGTTTTTAGAAAGAAATTCTGACAAGGGGTGCAAGCAGTCTTTAATTCGTGATTCACCATTCTTATGCACACCTATCCATAGCTCAGCATATGGAGTCTCAGAGTCAATTCTACAGTCAATACTATTGCAATATAGCCATGCAACCACACTTTCTTTTCCATACTTGCCCCATTCATAAGTTTGCAAATGTCCAATTAACTCCATCTCTGTTTTTACCAAAATATACTTTGATGGAAGAAGAGACTAAGAAGTTAATTTCAATTGGGATATTAGAAACCAGATTTTACAACAGACAGTCATGTTTCTAATGTTTTAATGTCAGGCAGTCCAATTTCTCTTTTTGTTTTCAAAACTTAACCAATTCAAACCGCCTTACTATATTGTATCCAAAGAGGTCATCGTGATCAGAACACTTATAAATAAAAAAAACATAACAAGTAGCCCAGTAATAGTCCTTGATTCCTTGGTAAAAAAGATTTCATATTTCATATACTAAGGTTTGTCCTTATAAATTTACCATATCCACAGGTCTGGTGAGAATAATGTACGTTTGCCAGCATATAGCCGCTGGAATACAAAATGGGGGCCACGTGAAGATAAATGAAGACCCTACTTATGTTGTAAGCATATATATAGAGAGGGCTAATAGATATATATCTATTAGCTATATATATCTAAAGCTACCAATCCTTTTAATTAATAGTATTTACAGTCTTAAGACATGAAATAATAGTCAGTTAACCCATACCCGTGGATTTCAAGTCGAAAAAATTAGTTTACGATTCAAAAAGTTTACTTTTTTTCGGTTTTTTGCTTATATCAATCAAACTATGCGATCTATCTATAATAATGTCATATATGAAATCAAAGCTGACAAAATTTACAATAGAAATGGTTATATTAGTTTTTTCGCTGTAGTCTATAGTTTCCGTCATATCCGTCCTCGTAATTCACTAATTTCGAGAAAAAAAAACGTTGAACAATTTAATTTAATTGTAAAAAAAATTACATAATATTTAGAATTTATTGTAAACAAAATAAAGTTATATTGGTGCCCCGAGATAATACCATGTCTCTCACCACTACACTGAGTTAGAGTGGCTCTTCCCCTCCATTCGAAGACAATATTTCCTAGGTACGTTCCTCTATCATATCATCAACAATCATCATCCTTCTTACGCCTACAACCTTCTCCAACTCAAGTCCTTAGTCCACTCCCTCTCCACAAGATCTCGACCTTCCGACCTTTACATTCCTTCTCACAGATCTGCCTCGTTCCAAAACTCCTTTATTGCTCGCTCTGTTATTTTTTGGAATTCCCTTCCTATAAAAATTCGACATTCTTCATCCCTATCTACATTCAAAACCCTCCCATTCCAATTCCTGTCCCAAAAACAGTCAAATACCCGCTAACCTTTTATGTAAAATTACATATTATTTATAATAATATATTCACATATAGCTCATAACTTAAATACTTATTATAGATTCGACTTTCTTTTTTTTTTTTTTTCAACAGAAACACAGATGTTACTGTTAAGAAGAATTTACATTTATTTTTTTCTGTATTTTTTATTTTTTCTAAAAGGGTTTATTTATATTTTACCATTGTACATAGTTTTAAATATCTTAGTGTGGTTTCAAGAGTTTTGTATATAGATTATTTTATTTTATTTTGTATATAGTATGTATAACTAATATATATTTTTTTTTTTTTACTGATTTATCTTTATCTTTACTTTTTATGTTTGTTTTTATCTGGCCAGATATAAAATTTTAATTTCTGTACTTTTTTGTTATTCTGAAGGGACTTCGTCCCAGAATAAAATTATTTTCTATTCTATTCTATTCTATATAATAAATGGATATCAAATATGATTCAACCTTTTATAAAAATATTATTGTGAAGAAAAGTTAAAGGCTGATAATGGGAATAAGACTGAAATCCATAATGATATTGAGGATCTAAATGTATAAAATAATAAGTGAGTAATAATTATTACTCAAAATAACTTTTATATATTTTATCTAAAACTTTGTAACTGAACATTGCTCAAAAATGGTTCATGAAAAAATAAAAGATAAATACTTTGGTATGGAGACAATTGACAGTAATTCTAATTTAAGGAGAAATTGGTCGAGTATTGTTTGGACTCATAAGTTGCGTTTTTTATTTATGACGTCTTGCCTTCTTTTTAACAATTTCATTATTCTGCTCTCGTTAAATATCTGAAGCTTAGAAGCGAAAAACTGATCGAGATTCGTTTTCACATCTCTGTCATCAGCGAACGATTTCCCGTTGAGAGAGTTTTGGATGGGACAGAAATAAGTGGTAGTCGGATGGTGCAAGGTCTGTAGAATACGTTGGGTGTAATAAAACATCCCAGCCAAGTTACACTAACTTGCTGTGTGATTATTGCAGAGTGTGGTCTGGCGTTGTCATGGTGAAAAACAAAACCTTTGCGATTGACTAGTTCTGGGCGTTTCTATCGCAATGATTGGTCCAATTTTGTTAAATGGGTGCAGAGATCTTCGAAGCGATCATTTCACTTTGAAAAGCAACTCGTAAAACAGCACGCCGCGATAATGGCACTATACGGAGAGGAAAATCTTTTTACGATGTAGGCCGATCTTCGGGAATGGATTTGGGTGGTTCGTAAGCAGTTGTCCACGATCGCTTGTGTCGTAGATGATCCACTTTTCGTCACTCCTCTCAATTAGTTTGAGAAATGTCTCCATTTCGTGCCGGTTCAGAAGAGAGTTGCGGATTGATATTAGGCTGTTTTAAATGCCTTTGAACTATTCCAAAATCTCTTTTCAGTGTCTCTGGAATTTCTCGTACCTTTGGCGAACGGTGGGGGGGGGGGGAGGGAGGATGAGGGCTTTCTGGCTGAAGCCTTCTCCCACAAAGCGGTAAAATATAACCATGTTTTATAGAAAAAAATATTAAAAAATATCTCTTAAAGTATTATTGTTCTTTTAATTACATTTAATAGGACTTCAAGAATCATTTAAACACCATTTCATATAAGTAGTTCATTTCATTCTTTTTTTTCTTCAAATTAATTATCGTTATATTTATGAAAAAAAATCTTGTGGGCTGAAGCCCCCCCAAAATTAAATCCTGGATCCACTAGTGCAGCATGTCATGGTCTATTTCTTTCCATTTATCTGCTCCCACCTTTGTTGATTCTATCTATCCATCTGCTTTTTGGCCTTCCATTGAGGCAATTAATTAATAATTATTTGTTTCCTTGTAGTCCAAAATCATAGTCAGCTATTTTAAGTTTTTTCTTGATGACCACCACCTCAGACCATTGTATCTCTTTCCTAAATTTGTTTTTCATTTTATGGACATAAATAAACCCTGTTGAAAGTTAGCTCCCCAGTCATTTTTATTAAATAATTTAATATTATTATTAATTAATACATTAAAAATGGGATATTTTACCTACATCATATTATTTCTACTTAGCTACTAACTTTTAATATAAATTAATTTTAAATAAATTAATAAACTTAATATATTAAATTTGTATTTCAGGAAAGTCAGACTAATTCAAGGATGAGAAAGACAGCTGTTATTAAACACTATTAAATTGTACATTAATGTAACAAGTTTAATCAAAACCTTATTTTGATACATTATTGGACTGGTTATTTCGAACTTAAAATGCATATTTCTCTTACAATCGGATTCAAAAATTTCCATGATTGGAATACTTTCCTTTGCTATATAAATAAGCAATTCTAAGAAATGGTGTTTGTGAAACAAATAAAGAAGAAAATATTAAAGGATACTGTTTATTTTCTCTAACAATTATCAAAACATTTTTTGTACAATTTTTAGTAACCAAAGACATAACAGTTAAATCAAAATCTAACATTGCATTTTTACACATATACAATACAATTGAATACTCCAAATATACAAAGTAATTAAGTATTTCTCAATTAACACAGTAGCTGAAGCACAAATTATTTGTATTATAAAGCTGAAATTAACAAAAATGTAATTTTTTTTTTCTGTTAAATGAAATAAAAAAACATAAAACTCTTTGATAATTTCCTCAGATTATTTTTGATAAACTAAACTAATATGTACCAATTTTACACTTTTGAAAAAATCATGATTTTCAATTCATATGTTTTAGCCAGTACAAAAAGATTTTTATTAACAATTTCGATGTAAAACTAGAATTAGTTAACAATTTATTGTCAATTAAGTTCAGATCATTATATGAATCGAAATATTTTTAAAGAATAGCTGGCCAGGAGATGAGGTCAACAATCACATACTGTGTTATATAAATAGTATGTAATATATAAAAATTCATTATTATATAGAATCAGTTTGAAATTAGTAATTACATTAAAAACTTTAATTTTGATTTATCATTCACTTCATAAATTTATTATGAAAAACTTCAAAGGCTGATATAACGTTACAAACTGCAATCAACATAAAAATTACTATTTTTTTTTTTGTATTTTATACAATATCTGTTTAAATATAATGTGATTGACCATATTATTTTTTAAATAAGATGGATGGATTAAGTAGATAATAATATTTAATACTTTTAAAAATTCTCAGAAAACTGAATTCAAATTAACTTTACTCACTGTAAGTGAACCATCACTTGGCAACTTTATCAATTTAGTTTTGAACAAAATATAGAGGAGGACATATTAATATATAACCTCAATCCACTAAACAAAAAATTTGTAGAGCACATAAATTTTCTGATATTAGTAGTTTAATATAAGCTTAACAGAGATAATATGTTAATTAATAACAACAGCTTTAAATTAAAAATACTTTGAAAATCATGATATAAAGTTCTACTAATTAGTAGATTGGATCATTGCGTTTTTGTAGGATAAAATATAATTTTAAAAATTAAAAAAGAAAAAAGTCATCTCCATTGAAATATATTCTCAATACAATAAAAATCATGGATGGTATATACATTAGAAAAAATTAAGAAGCTAAATGCTTTCAGCGAAATTAACAAATTGTTATGTGGAGAGCGTGGAATAAATACATTATATTAAAATAACAGGATTATTAACAAAATAAATAAAATGACAATAAAATATCTTTCACACAATTAAAATTCAAATAAAAACACACTAAAGGTAAGTAATTTACAAGCAACAAAATGATACACAATTTACAAAAATTTTCTAGATCATATATTTATGGCAGATTATCTTATCGGTGTCCGAACTGCTTCCTTATTACACTCCGGTTTGACTGGAGTCCTGAGTTTTTCTAATGGAGGAGGTGGAGGACTAGAAGATTTCACGAAGGTAGCGACTTGCGTGAACAGGAGCTTTGTTAATTTTAAAACTGCGTAATGTGCAGAAAACTGAAGGATCAATGCTCCAAAGCCTTTGAACAAACCGGCACCACCTTCCTGTGCCATAGTGGTGTCATAGCAATCCACCATTCCTTCATATCTGAAAAAAAAATTAGTAAAACTCTCAACTTCTAATTACATATTATAAAAAATATCAAGTTTTATAATTAATTAACAGAGTATAGATCCTTTTTCTGGCTCTGGAGCGATGGATTTTGACAAATGAGGAGTCAAAAGAGAGTGAATTTCACGGAGAAGGGATAATTCTGATTTTGAACCATAAATTAATACTATAATTTCAATAAAAATCATTGAAAAAATAAGTAGTTCAGAGTTGCAAAGTTGAATATGAATTCTATCTCTTAAATTTTCTAATTTTTTTCCAAGCAAGTATCTTTAACCCTCTTCTATAAACGTTCTTGAATCCAACCCGCTTAGCAGATGAATGCAAATACCACGTCTTCTCCCTTCTGCAAGGTCACAGGATTCTAAGTATCCTTTCAGGCAATCCTAATAAAGACTTCGACTAACTAACATCAAATGAGGTAAGCGCCATCTTTGGTTGATTCACCTCTCAAATTCACTCAGTCCCTTTGTGGGTCATGTTTATAATGAGGTTCCTAACTTAGATTATAGCCATTCTAGAATAATGGCGTTCAGCAGTTCAAAAGTTGTTTTTGCCACAATAGATGATATGTGGGAGGGGGGTTAGGCGGCAACAAGATAAATCTGATGAGGAATTACATGACGAAATCGATGTGATGTAGTCCTGTCAAATAAATGAAGATTTATTTGAAATGGGTGAGACCAATGATTTCATTCTTTCATATCTTTGCGACGCCAGATCTTTCTACTTCATTCAAGAGATACTCTTTATTTTTAAAGAAAGAAGAAAGATGACCCACCATTATCTGCAAAATATATTTTATAGGTTAGTGATTTTTTGAAAGAAAACAATAGAAACATAACTCCTGACAATTTGTATATTTAGAGGCAACTGATGAATTCCAAAGAAATAAAAAAAAAAGGCTGACAACTATAGCTCCCATTGGTTAATCGCGATTCGCCTAACAAAATAAAATAATAATAATAACACACATAAGTGTGAAAATTTCAATACTCTCTAATATTGCTGATCAAAAACTTTTTGCCATAGCTTAGTATTGTAAAGTAGAGGAAATAGTGAAGCTTGTGTGATGCGGGAAACAGATTTTCTTACTTTTATTTAGTAATTTTTTTTCTCCCATTCAGCCCTTTCTGACACCAGGATATAAACCCGTAATCGTACATTGGAAATTGAATAGCTGTAACTTCGTTAATAGTTGTCCAAAATGAACGATTTTTATATAGTTTTGTAGGGAATTTCATTTGGTTTCATACTCCCCCAAGACAAATAAATATGTCCATTTGATCTCTTCAATGTACTTCAAGAAGGATGGAAATAAATTATCTGGAAATCAACAAATTTTATAATATGATGAAAGGAGACGTAGATGTGTTAGAGAAGCTTTGTCACAAAAATAACCTCACTGATATTACTATACTTTCATACTAATAAGATTCAATTTATATATTTTTTATTTTATGTAAATCAGTTCTTTATTTGACTGAACAGTCTTTTTGCAGATTTTTCATGAATAGAATAAGACTGATGATTTTTAATGGTTCTCATGCCTTAGTTTTATATATATTCTGTAATATCGTTTGTTTAAAGTTCAATAAACTAAAGTAAACTTTAATATTGTGTGCATTTTTTTTTCTGGTCCAAAAATTGCAATTAAGGAGTAAGGGGTCGGTTGCGACCCAACGTTTATGTTTGTGTGGCCAGAACCAACATTTATAGAGGAGGATTAAAGAAAAAAACTTCAGACTATTATAAATACTTACAACATTAATAGAATAAAGGCAAATGCAGCCTTAGGGATAGATAACTGTTATTTAATAATTAGATAAATAAAATACTCTTCACTGATTTTAGTAAAATATTAAAATATGATATATTGATATAAATTATATTAAATATGTTAATATAAATACAGTACATAATCTGAATAATTACCTTGTCAATATAGCAACAACAGAAAATCCATTGTCAAGGTTATCTATAATCGTCCTAGTTCCTTGTAAATGTAATCTATAACAATGAAAGAAAAAGTAATAATTTCCATTAAATTTATGCATGAATAATCAAATATTTTTCATTTTAAATTAAAAATACACTAGAACATAAAAAACTTAATGCAAAAAATTTAAGTTTAAAAATAGTCATCATTAGAACTAAAATAAGTTTGTAAATATGAAACCCGAATTTCCTTATGGAAAAGACAAATATATACTGCATATAAATATTAAAAAATATTTTATTCGAAATATTCTCCATCGCTAGCAATGTATTTTTCTTATTTCTCTGGCAATTTATGAATGCCATGCCCGAAAAACTGTTGCTCTTTAGTGACGAACCAGTCATCAAGTTTTTCACAAGTGCCTTCTCCATGGATGCAAATAAATAGTAGACAGACGGAGCCAAATCTGGTAAGTAAGCTGCAGGCGCTAATATTTTCCAACTGAACAACTTAATCATTCACTGGTTTTGCTGCGACCATTAAGCAAAATTACTTTGTGTAGTATCTTTTGATATTCTGGTCGTTTTCACACATTATACAATTCAAACAATCGTTTGTTGTCAATTATGCATTCAGCATTTAATAGTTTAACCAGAATTTAGAACCTTATAACAGATTACTACCACATTCCACATTCTTCATTTCTCTCATGTCAGAATCGCCTTTTATGAATTTTTTTAAACCGCTACAAGCACTGTGACTTACCAACAGCATGCTCACCTTAAGCTTGGAAAAGTATTCGATGCTATTCTGCAAACTGTTTTTTAAATGGCAACCGAAAACTAATACGGAAATCATAGTTTATTGAACTTTTATTTATTTATTTAATTCAAAAAATATAATTTCTTGTAATTGTTTAGTAACCTGACCTGTGTAAAATGGTTTCCAATGGGTAGAATAAAACATCAGCGCCGATCAATGACAACAGCTGTGCGGTCACCTCGATTTCTTGTAACAGTGACTGGTTCATCCAATCCTTTGGGTAAGCTCCCTAAAAACACAAAGCGAACTTGAGAAATGTTAAAATTGAAATAAAATCTAATATATAACATACATCAGTTTATACAGCAGACCCAAGCGAAAAGTATTTTAAAATACATGAGGCGTTTGTTTTTAAAACTGGTTATATTCATTTTCAAACATTTTTCAGGTCTGATCAAAAAAAGATTTCATTTAAAAAACAACCGTTCAACAATTTTTTTATTATTATTTTGATAACAAATCACTTTAAACAAAAATTATTGACAACTTTTTGTGAACTTCACCTTTCATTAAAACCCATTTAATATAAAAAATAAGTTGGATGTACGAGAAATACAAATAATTTTAGTATTTCTGCTTCGTATGATCTCTCTTTGATTATTAATTTTATATTTACATGGCACATCAATGTACAATCATCCGTTTTTACTTTGTATTCATTGTACTTTTAACCATTATGATTCAATATTATCTAATATTTAAATGTAATTTTTTTACAATAGGTACAGCTAAGTATAATTATAATTATTCATATTTGTTTCTTCTCTATACTTCTATATTAGTTCTGCAATGTATGGTTTCTTATTTTTATATTTACATTTTTACTTCTTTCAATTTTGTTTTTATTCGCATTGTACACTCTATCTATAATTTTCTCAATTCGATTTTATATTTAATTGTATATATTTATAATTTATTAGTTCAAAGACATTGTATTTTTTCTTTTATCCATCAATATCTTCAAATTTTAGTTACTGTAATATTCCAATTTTTTTTTTCTATTACTACTTACTCCCTCACCACTCCCCAACCAGGTCAGCAAATAAGGGATTTATCAATAGGAGGAAGATTATTTGTAACAATTAGAGTCTATATCTGTACCCCGGAGGTATTTTTATTTTAGGTAGGTTTTATTTCATTAATAATAGTTGAACATACTTGGATATGGAAATAGTAAACACTTATATCTCTAAGAAGTATAACGTAGAAAAATTGACAAAATAAATCTGTACCTTTCTTTCAAACTCTTGCCTGCAGTTGATCTGCATACAGGCGGAAGCAAAATTCTTTATTAATGATTGAAACATACACTTGAAAGCACCATGCACAACTGTTGGAACTACAAGATTCCAAACTGGTAACATCCTTCCTATTAACAAAATAAATTTCCATTAGTTACAAAGTTATAAAACTACTATCGACAATATTTATAAACAATAGTTATGAGGTTTGTTCAGAAAATTCAATAAAAGTGAAAACGAATTTTCTTTCTGTAGCAGTGCCAGATGCAATGCCCTAATGAAGAATTACAACATAGATCGAAACTGCTATTTGTATTGAACATACAAATAATGTTTTAAAATTATTATGAAGTGACGAAAACAAAGTTAAAATATGCTGACATCAAAGACAGCGTCAAGGTATAGATCAAGTACCTAAGGACCGAGGGCTCTGGGGAAGGCCTTTTTCTTAAGGTACTATTTCGCTGGCGCGGTCCACGACCGTGACTGCTCGTGGGTTGACTACTGCTTTAGTGGAATAGAAAGGAACCTATTTCGCTGGCGCTGCTCGTATCTGACTCCTCTTGAAGCAGTGGAGCTGTTGGCGGTTCAGCGGTTGTAGGTTATGCTATCATATCAGAGCATTGTTTTGATGATAACAGTCACGTCGAAACTTTTTATTAACCATGTTTCTTTCAAGTCTGGCAAAATTATAACAAATATTGTTTAAAACTGAAACAATGCAATAGTAAATTATTTTTTTAAGGTTGAAGTAACAAGATTATTTATTTATTTATTCCAACAGCAATATTTTACAACGAAATACAAATATACCTAAATCTAAATGATATTAAATGAATTAAAGAATCCAACAAATTTTATCATCAGGTAAATACTAAAATCCACCCATTGAAAAATCTATTTATTTTTTAATTAAAGTGGTGATTTACTCATTACTATTGATAAAACTATAAAACATCGTCTGCTAGGATTTAATTACAAATATATGATATTTATTACAAATCAATTATGTATTAATTACTATTACTTTTCAAACTAATAATATCTAATATCGGAGGGACTTTGATGATGAGCATCACAACGAAATACTGATATTCCTCCTCTTTATGAACAACATTTTCTCTTCTTTTTCCAACTCAAATAAAAAAGCGGTAGTCAGAGAGGTTCATTATTATAGAATGTTCATTTTTATTATTATATTATGTCCATCTTTTTATCTTCGAAGATACAGCGAAATGTTCGAAGGTTACAGGCAGGTTATAACAACTTCAGTGAGCAGTTTCAGCGAAATAGCTATGCCAACAGCGGTTGGCAGCGTGGAATAGCAGTCGCTGTCGTGGACCGCGCCAGCGAAATAGTACCTTTAGAGTAACTAATAATGGGTTAAATAACTGGCTCTCTTTAGGGTGTGCCCAGTTAAAATCATTTTTACACCAGCCAAAGTTCAGAACCAATCAAAACCATCCTTGCCCCATCCTGGATATTTGTATAAAATCTCGTGGAAGAAAAAGCTCGAGGTCTTATGTCTTTTTCTGACCTTGGGGACTGAAGAGGCAGCTTGGCCTACACAGAACGGGGATTTAATCGCCAAAATTGCCAAAGTGGCAAAAAAAGTGCACACACACAGCTCTAAAGAAGCCCAGGAAGTCATTGGAAAAGTGGAAAGATGTCATCAACCTTCCTCAGTGAAGATTTGGTGGGGAGTTTTGTTTTGATTGAACCATAAAGCTCCATTTTTGTAAAAAAAGGAGTTAAAACAGCCGCTGAAAACTATCAGGACGATATTTTGAAACCTGCTATCAAGCCACTAAATGATACTCTGTTTGCTGGTCGTCATTGGGTTTTCCAGCAGGATTTCGCTCCAGCTGACAAGGTCAACTCTGCAGTGGCGGTAAAAGAACATTCCAGAGTTCATATCTGCGTTGGATTGGCCCTCAGGAAGCCCTGATCTCAACCCACTAGATTATCAGCTTTGGTCCGAACTGGAGAGGATGGCATGGCACAGAGCACACCCTAATTTGAAAAACCACAATTTCTGGTCCGAGCAGTTGAGTGCGTTCTTCAAGAAGTGCTGTGTGCTGCTATTGATGTCTGACCATATAGATTACAAGCCTGTGTCAAGACAAAAGGGGGACATTTTGAATAATTTCTTTTTTGTTGTTTCTGTTATATTAAGAAAAGGATAAATAATATGAAATAATGGACATAAAGGGATGTGAAGAAAGAAAAGAAAATAGTTGAATAGGCTTGAAATAATTAGGATTGACATAAAATAGTTTTAGCACTATTTTAGTCTATTTATGACCGTCACCCCGGATTATCTCCTTTCTCTCTATATTTAGTTTTAAAATGAAATAAAATATATTGTGGTACTTTTAGTCTAAGGGGCCGTTTTGAAACCTCACTTCTTATCTATCTTATCTAACGTCATGTCATCATGTTACATAACATCCCTCTTCTTATCCCGCCAAACTTTTGAGTTATTGCATTGTTTGGTTTTCAGTTATTCCATTATTATGTTCACTTATTAAATTGTTTACTTTTGGCCCGTTTGTGTTTATTTTACATTTTTTTTTAGTTTGTGAACCCTAGGTGTTTATTTTTCATTTTTTTCCAAGATAAATAAGACAAAAGGAAGTGAATAATTAACTTAAAATAATTTGTATATAGGTTGTTTATAGTGTTGATATTTTTTCTTTTCTATGTAAATATGTTCTTTTAAATTTGTTGTTTTTAATTTCATTTTGATGTTTTATATGTACATATCTTCTTAAAGTGTTTTTTTATTATTTCATTAATTTGTCCTCAAATAAAAGTATTTTTGTTGTTATTACATTTGTTTTTGTATCTGTTTACACGAAGATGTGAAGTAGGAGAAGGCTTGTCACTGCGTTATGGGAGTTATCAGTGTTCAGGTTATAAACATTGCCAGATAGCAGTCAGTAGCGGCCCCTTAGACGAAAAGTACCTATATTGTAAAGGTAGATTGACTTTTGTCATGGTAGTGAATCCGATACATATGCATTAACAAACACGAGAATAGCTATTTGATAAGATTAAGAAGCTATAAGCCTTAGAACAATTATGAGCACCTGATCATTTCTCAGCAAAGAACTACATCGGAGAAATAAAGCTTTGACAAATGATACTACTGTAAATAAAATAAATTTGTGTGGGAGTAAATGAGAGGCATTAATATATATCACTAGATTATAATAATTGTCAAGTTAATCATGATAATATTGTGTTTTTGTTATCAATTACCTTTTTGAGGAGTACTTATATTGACAAGACGATAGATTCCTTCCCTGAAGACATCGAAAACACCAGGCTTCTCGCTAGCAATATCACTCTGAACGGTTTCAACGAGGCTAGCAGAATAGAATGGGGTGATAACAGCCAGTGTAATACTGAAATGAAAATGATAAGAAATTTCACCAAATGCAGTAACTTTATAACATAGCAGGTGTGTAAATATGAAACCACAATTTTGGTAATGGAAATAAGTCTACTGGATAAAAATGTCAAAAATATTGTCCATCACTAGCTAAATATTTTTCCTATTTCTCTGACAATTTATTGCAAATTGCAAAAAAAACTGTCGCTTATGGCGAATGAGTCATCAAGCCATTTTTGTACATTTCCATAAGAAGTGAAGTGCTACTGAGTAAGTGCGAGCCCCATCAGAGCAAATAAATAGCAATCGGGCTGAGCCAAGTCTGGAGAGTAAGCCGTACGTTCAAATGAACACAACCAAAGTGAGGAAAATAAGTGACGAGATCTTAAAGAGCGAGTATAAGAAAGTTACGCTGCAAAAGGAGGTAAATTGAATTTTTTCCCTTAAAGATCTTTGGCCATCTGAACCAGGCTTCTTTATGTACTGCTTTCCAATGGTAAGTGAAATTGCATATTTAAGGTTTTTATATGCTAGGGTTGTCACAGCAACTTTTTTATCAAAATCGGCTAACTGGAAGAGGCACTTTGTATTATGGACTAAACACATTTTTACCATTTTCTCAAAAACTGCTCTAACGATTTTGATTAAAATCATCATATCAGTGTAAAATGTAAAAAAAAAAGAGCTTAAATGGCTAATTTTCAATATTAGCATCCCCAAATTACTCTTAATTTTTTTTATTTGAAAAAATTGACCATTTCATATTAATCTATAATATAAAAGATAGTTAAATATAAAATAATTTGAATTGAAGAATCTAAAGGAGAAACAAGAGATCGTAACGGAGAATAGTTATAATTGAGGAACCAAAGGAATACAAGCGCACCCGAAAGATTAGAACACGCATTCATACACAGTATGAGCTTAATATAATACGGACTCCGACAATATTATATAAATATACATATGTGGTTTTCATAAATGCTATTGTTGGTATTATTTAATATTTAATATTATAGATTACAGCGATATAAATATTAAAATTTGTATATATATATATATATATATATATATATATATAAGAATGCTTATACAGATAAAAATATCCACAATGAACTATAAATAAATATAGTGTCTATAATTTTTACTTTCACTTCCCCTTTGCCTGAAAATACCTTTTTCTGCTAAGAGGATGGTAAGTGAAAGTTATATGATGCGCGCACAGCACCAGATTTCTTTGTCTAATGGATACCGGAACGGTAGTCAAACACACAACTTTTCTGGCTTGATACAAATAAAAAGCCTCTCTACACATAGAGAGCATTTTTGCAGGCACCGTAATATGCTTGGTCTTTGTGGAGCCCTTGAAATTGAACTAAAAGATAAATATTTCCGATATTAAATCTCAAAAATGACTCCAAGGTTTTAGATAGAGGAATAGTATTGTCTATTGAGTGACTGGAGCAAAGTTGTGTTAAATTATGGTACATTTTATATCCATATTATATAATTAAAACATGATGGGGCTAAATGATTTAAGTGCCAAAAATAAATGGAAATGGAGAATGGAATTAAAAGTTGGCACAACACTGGTAATGGCACATCAATTATTTTGGTCTGCCAAACTTTTTTTTCTTGTTCAAATTTTGGCACTTGGCCCTGCCATACCTCAACTGATATACAAATAAACTCTTACCACTTCAGTAAAATATGCTGTCCCATTGTTTTCCAGGAAACAGTAGTCCATGATATTTCCCTGAAAAAAAAAAATGATAAATTACCACTAAATTGAACAGATAAAGGATAAAGCATAGTACAAAAACACCACATTATTATCTATTCCTAATTAATAATTTTAATTGCTACTACTTTATACAAAGAACAGTCCAGAATATCATTTCCTGTGTGCTATTTTCTTCCTAACGTTTATATACGCGACTTTAAATAGACAACCATGTGAAAATCTCATATATCCACTTTATCAACCCAACATACAGTATGACTAATAAATAATCAAAATCAAAACATTTATTATTTATGAATACAATTTATATGGACTGACAATAAAAAGCCTAACGAAACATCCAACTAAACAACAGATTATAGATAATTAATAGAACTTAATCTAAACTTAACTATTTATAATTAAACAACAATAATTTAAGGACTAACCTAAAGCTGATATAAAATTTACTAACTAATATAAACAGGAATAAAGTAATATAAAGTAAAATACTAAAGACTTCGTCCATATAAGTATGTTTCTTCCAGCAGGTACAGAAAGAGAGAGTGAGAGAGGGAGAAAGCTACAAAGGAAAGCTTTTTCTCTGTATCTATAATTTGTCCTAAAGGGACAAAAGTCCCAGGATAATAAAAATCTATTTTCATTTCATTTCATTTACACCTGAGTAGCTTTTTTTTTTTTTTTTTTTTTATCTCCCTGCCCAGCATAGTTGCAATGTGGGGTAAAATTACTAGTCATCAGCTGGATTCGAACCTGAGACCTTCAGCTCTGGAAGTCAGTGCTGCCTGGCTACTACCTACCTACTGAGCTGCCCGGCTCCCAATAATTTCAGTGAGTAGCTAAGCAATAAAAATTGACTAAATAATAGCATTTCTGCAATCTGCTTTACATCTAATCTCCTACTATATCTATTACGTTTAATTCCTAATATGGTCAAGTCTAAAGTAAAAATTTAAAATTGAAGTACTCACTTTGGCCAATTGGTAACTTTAGAAACTATATCTTCTACAGCGAGGGCCATGCCCCTAATCAGGAGCACGCTCCCGATGCCCTTCCACAAAGTCGTTATACCCTGGCTTCGATGTAAGTGCACGATCACAGGGAAAAGCGTAAAAGGTACCAGATGGAACCTTTTTGCATTGTGATTCACCTATAAAAAAATTAATTTTAATTATTTAAAAACAAAATACATTTAGAAATCCTATATAACCAATCCCTATTTGATTCGCTCTCTGGACTGACTGACAAAAAAAAAAAAAAAAAAAAAAAAGAATAAATTTATTCCTTCATATAGCTAACAAGGTACAGCGTTTATGTTATCATTAGAACTAAATTATTCAAAATAAAAAGTCAATAACATGCAAAAGGGAAAATTGTTTTTACAACAAAATTTTAATCTTTGAACTTATGGATCTCCATTTATTGTTACTCAGTTAATCTTAACTGAGTAACAATAAACAAACATATTACTATAGTATGAAATATAGGCAAAGAAATCTGTGAATAGTGTGTTAAGTGCAATTTTGTGAATTTTCATGAGTATCACCAGAAAACTAATTTTTTTTTCTCGATATTTGTGTCTAATAAGCTATGTTATGTGGCTATTACAGAGATGAATATTCCAACGTGAATAGTTGTATGAAACTCGAAAACTGAAATTGTAACTTTGTAAATATGATTTTTGCATTTAACATACTATGCACAGGCGCCACAGATATACATAGATTAAAAAAATGAATTATGTATCTCATAACGCAATAATCTCTCAACAACACAACATACACAACAGATTAATTGATTACCAACTAGGACAGATAAACATATATTTCAAGTAATAAAAATGTTCAATTAAATTCACTGGCAAAAAAAAATTATGAAAAATAATGATTATTATTCAATTTCACGCTTTTATGCTTCATAAATGTATAAAAATAAAAAAGTAAGTATTCCACAAAATAGAAAAAAAAACTTGCCTGACATTGTCTCCGTAAGACAAGAAAAGGGTGACTAAGTAGATTTTCGGTAATAAGAGTAGTTACACCAATACCAACTCCGATAAATTTCTGTATCTGAGCATCTAAACATATAAATTCTAACATTAGATGTTTATATAAACTTATCACTAAAAATTAACAAACTTAAAAGTAATATTATCGGTTTATTGCAAAAAAAAGTCTCATTTATCAAAATTTAAAATACTAAGACCAGGTTTCGGAGGTGGCATATCAGAAACATTGGCATACCATACCTGCTATCATTGATTTATTCCAAGAATTTATATTTATATTCTTATAAATTAGATACATAAAAGGATTTGTTTCATATTTATTGCACTTACTATGTTTTTTAATCTATTGCCAAAGAGGTTTTTTGCAATAAACCGAGGATATGTTTATTATATACATTATTATTTATTATATACACAAATAAAGTTAAAACATTCTATTAATCATAAAATAAGATTATAACTACTCATCTCTGTAAAAATAAACAAATATATTAATAATTAATGCTAAATTTTGTTATTTTGGTGAAGTTAAAAGATAAATTATAACTTTAAAAAATTTCATATCACCCCTTTCAAATTAAGTAATTAATAATTTAATCAAGTCCCAAATAAAACAGAAATAAATTAAATTAAACATTAAATTGAAAAAAAAAACAGAATAAAAGCTATTATGCATTCATCCATTCAATTATTAATGAATAATAGGATGTGATATCAGTATAAAGGCAAATGAAAAAAATCAATAAATCTTTCAGTCAGAAACATTAGCAACAATAAAACAAACTAAATTAGATTCATGTCAAATTCAAATGCAACACGAATGATTTTACAATAAAGACTACAAAAAACTACAAGGACACTAACAAAAAAAAAATTAAAATTTAGCAGGTACATCCAAATTTCATTCATTTACATTTAAAAGTTGAGCAACATATATAGATTTGACTTAATTAAGAAGACAAACGAACTTCTAACTCCTTGGAAAATTCCAACCTAAGTAAATAAATGAAGGAGAAATATAATTTTCAATGTCATAGTTCAATCACTCTAGTATTTATTTGAAGAAGTGAAAAGTGTTTACAAGGTCAACCAAAGCTAAACATGATTTAATATATTTAAGGGACTTAGAGAAAAAATTAGGGAATTGACAATAAGATAAACTGAGACTGATAAGATTACTCTTAATATTTTTTGCTAATAAATTAATATAAAACTTATTCTAAAATATTCAAGATACAGCAAAAATGACCTATTACATCACTTTTCAACAGTATTGCAAGATTAAAGAATGAAGAGTGAAAGTAAACAGAATAACTTAAAAATGGTCGATGTTGTCATAAATGAAGTATTAAAAAAATCAATGATAAATCTCCAAAACTAAATCGCTAGGGAATACCTCACCATCATCTTCATAAACCGTGTTAGGGATCTGTTTGGGGAATGTTGGCTGCAAATCTATGCTGTTCGGCCTCTGCGTTCCTCGGTAGAGTTGCCTTTCATATTCCAAGTCGTTGTAAATTTCTCTGAAAGACGAGTTGGGATTGTAAGAGCGAGGGCCGAAGTAACCTTCCATACCTGCCATCTTATGCTCTTTCCAACCACCATCAGCTGATAAAGTTCGTCCGATACCGGTGAAGTATCGATACTAAAAAGATATCGGAACGTTATTGTCGATACACTTACAGAAATTTCATAGAGGTATGAATTATACGGATCATATGAAGAGAAACAAGGTCAGTAAAACTACCAGGTTCGCTCACTCAGAGGGAAAATGGTGGAGAGGAATTGATCTCTGACGTAGCCAAAAGACTAATTTACCCTCCGGCCTTAGTTTCTGGACATTTTAAGATTATTATTTACTATCATACAATAAATCAATTGCGTATTGCCAAATAACTTATTCATTTTAATAAATTTGAAAGGTGAGAGAAAGGTTGATTTGATATTTAGTTAATTCTGAAGCAAATAAAATGTAATTTAACAAGTTGATGTATAATTTTTTGCAAAGTACCACAATACTACTTTTTAAATATTTCAACTAATACAGAGTATAATAGAAATATTAAACAAAAAAAAAAAAGGATTTAATCTACAATTAAAAGTGCGTTTTCTGTCCGTGGATTTTTGTAAATATTACATTTTGATGTCATAAGTAATCGTATATAGTGATTTTTCTCAAGTTTTTTGCCTTTGATTTTATAATTTCTTTATTGTTGTAAAAATCTTTGGGTATTTAAAACTTTGATTCTAATAAATACCCGTTGCTGAAAGAAAGCCTTTACTAGTTCTTTATTAATTTCTACATTTTGTTTTCTAAGAAAAAGATTAGTCAATGTTTATACAATATTTAAATTAAATTTATTTATTTAAAGAAATTTTGACTACAAACCCTGACAAAGATCTTCACCCTTATAATATTATTATAATACCGTTGTAATATTAAAATAAATACCCACGAGATCTACAAATAAAATTAAACAAACACTGTGCTAAACTGTTCTCTAAATAAATATAAATCATAGTTTTTTCTATTTATGTAATATATTTATATATTATTTACTGAGATTTTGAAAAAAAAATTACTGACAGCCGTATTCATTCATATATCTACTTGAAACTATCTTCAATCAAACGTCAAAAACACAGAAAAGTATTCTTCTCAATAAATTAAACAAGAAAAAAAAAAAGCACAATAATGTTGAAATAAGCCTTCATTGATAGGCTTGAAGGAGTAATAGGTAGGTCAGACAGTCTATTCCTTACGTCACATTTCAAGTTCCCCCACCACGCATTTCTGAGTGAGCGAACCTGGTAGTTTTATTGACCCTGCCTGCGCCAACACTAAAGGCGAAATGCCGCAAGATGTATAATGTGAATTGGGTATTTGGGCATAGTTTGCGGAAGCTTCCCTGAGCTTGGTAGCCGGTTTGTAGTAGGCAACACATTAAAGTAGTGGGAGTGGGAGAGGGTGGTGGGGATATTTTTACCAGCTGATGGAAGGTAGTCAGCTGGTTACCTCGGTTTGCTACATATCCATCCAGAATGGAAAACTTGGGCAAAATCCAAGAAAATGTTGCCTTATGAAATGAAAATATATTTTATTATTCCTGGGACTGTTGTCCCTTTAGAACAAATTATAAGTGCAGATTGCATGTCTGTGTGGTCATAAATAAATTATGTATTTTCAACACGAGTTAATTAAATAAGAATATAGAAAAAGAATGAGAAAAAGACAAGAAGATTGTACACACACACACAGACATATATATATATATATATATATATATATATATATATATATATATATATATATATATATATATATATATATATATATATATATAAGAAACTAAAATACCCTAAATAAATTGAGGTAGTCTCTGGGGATACTTAGATAATTCTGTAAGGTATATTTTGTAATTAGTCGGATTGAGAAAGGAATAGGTGTTTAAAGAGGAGAGGTTTGGAAGAGGAAACTGATTGTGCGTGTCGAATATCAGCAGGGATGGAATTCCAGAGGGAGGTGACTTGAATTGCAAAAGATTTGTCAAATGCAGCAGTTCGGTGAGGAGTATTTGAATTGTAAGCTGTGAAAAATATAGGACGGTCGATTAGTTCTAATGATTTGGTACAGAAAGGTAGCTAGGAAGTACTGGCGGAAATAGGATGGATAGGGCCACTTCAACTTGGTGTAATACTGGATTATATGCGAATCTCTTGAGATTCCGAAAACAATTCATTAGGCGTTTAAGTTTGGCCTCCAAATCTCCAGAGAGTCCACCGTACACCATACAAACATAGTCGAAGTGGTGGAAAACAAGGGAGGAAACTAGAGGATGACGGGACTTATATGGAAGAAGATAACGTAGATGACTGAACTGTTTTAGGGTGGAAATAGTGCGACGAGAAATTTGGGAGATGTGTTGTTTCCAGGACAGGGTTTGATCATAAGTAACATCTAGGTTTTTAACAGTAATGTAGAATAAGATAAGTGAGTTGTTTTAGAATGGCACCTGAGAAATCGGTAGGATTAAAGGAGAGGTAAATTTAAATGTCGTCGGCATACAGGTGGTATTGACAGTGCAGGATAGAGGATGGGATTTTTATGCCACGTTTTTTGTTGAAAAGGAAGTGACAAAAAAAAAAATTTAATTTAAGTAATTAATGATAGCTTCACTGAAAACTAGTTAAAAGTTACTCTAAATAAAAATAGAGTTTGCTTTTGGTAAAACCATGTAAAGAGGACCTTTGAGCTGCTAAACTCAGCAAGGAGTGGGGGGAATGGGTAGTGGTGGGGAAGCACTTGGAACAGGGGTGCGCCCTCTCCCCAGAGAAAATTCCTGTATCCGCAACTGATAGGAATCATATAATCACAGCTAGGCAGTAATTACATATTCAATCAAGTAGGCGTTGATAACCTGGTGGTATATGCCTATAAACAGCAACAAACATGTTCTATTACATCAACTGAATATTTAATTAAGTAATACTTGTTATTTACAACAGGAATTGCTATATTCCTTTCTATTATTGTAATAGAAAAAGATACTTTCAATTGAAAAAGATGGGAGATATTTATACTATTTACAAAATAATTATAATGTTGATAGAAAATTAATCTTTATATCTCAACATTATTAATATTATACAAAACAGAAATTCTATTAATCAACAAATAAATATTTTTAGGTTCAAATATACAACACAAAATTCTCAACATAATATATTTACAGAATATAAAATATAAATTAATTAACACAACATACAAAATCAACAAATTAATTAATACAAAAAATACTATTGTTTACACAATATTACGAATAAAGTAATTACAAATAAAGCATTTTTAAATGCATCAGTAAAAGTTGAAGAATAACTAATGATAATTCTTCATCTTCTTTAAATGCTTTTATTAATAATATCTGCTTTTGTAGCTACAACCTCACTAGGATGTAGAGGAAAGCATTCGAAACAGGCTGCTATTTTATTGAAACTTGTAGTTGTTTGAACATTAGATGTTTTTATTGCACACACTCCGAACATATCTTCAACAAATCTTATCCAATTGACACATAAACAGAGTCTGTTGTGGTTGAGGTAGTTGTCCAACCATTCTCTTACCAGGAATCCATAATTCTGTGCAAAAGTTTTATTAGATTTATTCTTATTTCCACATAGGTTTTGTAATGCTTGCATCGAGTACTACCTCTCCTTCATCTTCACATTCAACTGTGGAAGAATGTTGAAAACAAAAAATTAAAATATTAATTTTAGACCTTAACCAATAAATAAACTGGTATTATACACATAAAAAGTAAATTTAAAAAATAATCAGATTTTTTAATTTATTCCCTACCAATGTTCATGCTTATGAAACATAGAATTGAGATATTCTACATACTTCTCAACATGAATGGTTTAGACAAGTTTTAACAACTTAAGCATTAGTGGTAGGATCTAATACAATTTATAGCATGGGTAATTTTCATAATACAATAATTTCTTTCTTTTAATGCCATGTTTTATAGGCATCCTAGGGAATGATTCAAACATCAATTTAACTGTATACCTCTTAACTTTTGAAGGTTTTATTCACTGTAAGTTTCAATAAATACCTGATATTACTTTCAAACTATGCCGGCAGTAACAAAAAATTTTTTTTTCATTTCTTATCATAATAGTTCATACTTAACATACCACACCCCACAAAAAAAAATCCATTTCAAATTTTATTATAAAACAACATTTCTTCGAAAATATAAAATTCAAGTTTATGATAATTACTATACTAGTTCATATACAGAGTGATGAATAACCAATTGTAAAGAAATTATTGTGTTAATGTAAGTGATTTGTTTGTGAAGTAAACAATGAAGTTAGATAAATAAATGATGTCGATAGAAATGGAACAAACTCAAAAAATGATAATAAATATCCGAGATCACAGATCATGTATTACATTAACTATATGATGTGGTGTGAATTGGCCCATAATAAACATTAATCAATGTGTAAAGATATAAAAAAAAAAAGTATACATACCGTATTTATGGTTTTACTACTAAGTTCATGACGTTTTCTTGTACTGCGCAGACTAACGTATTGTTGACGAGATTCGTTTGGTTGGTTAATTTGTCGCAAGGTTTCCCAAGAATTTTGCCAACCCGCATTTGGCTGTAGTGTGTGCATGGTTATTTCACTATGCTAAATAAAATTTTCTTGTTTTTGATGTTTTCTACCAGCTTTCGATATCAAGAGAAATAAAATAAATGTTTGGTTTAGCAATAATGTCGCTATAGTTTATTTAGATGATTGTTTCGCATAGTTTGTGAAACATCTAAACGCAACTTAAGATGACAAAACGTTTATGATGAAAAAATACATTTATTTGGGCTGCTATGAAACTAAAAATAATCTATTAGATAAATGAAATCATTTTATAAATAAATAAATGCTGTGTAACGGGAAGATCTTAGAGGTAGCAAATGAGTTCAACTTCCTGGGAACCATCATTGATAGATGTTGTAGGATTGACCAGAAAATAATAAAATAATTTCTAAAGCAAACCAGGTGTACTACCAAATCAACAACAGCATAATAGGACACGGCGAGATAGGGAGAGATGTTAAGGCTTGGTTGTGCCAGGGAAGGTTTAAATTTTCCCGCGTTACGGCGAGTGGTGGGGGCAGATCTAAAAGATAAAAGATAACACTTAAGCCTTGAGAGGGACTGCTGTATCCGCCCATAAGATTGGCAGTCACTGACCAATCACCATATCCAGCACAGTAAGTCACGTACGGAGGGCCATCCAGGTAAAAAAGATGTAGGCTGGCATATAAACTGTAAGCTATTTTTTATATATCATTAACCTACCAATCCCTTAAGATACAGTCCACTACTTTAAAACTAGAATGTTGCCTTATTGAAACTCATGAGAGTTATTTTGCCATAATTGGAAAAGTTGTTCTAAACAAGGCTATATACCTACCAGATCTTACACATTTCGGTGAGAGCTGGGTGATAGTTGACAGGCATGTCATTCGAATCACTAGCGCTGAGATGAAGTTCTTGAAAGACAAGGCGATAATGGGTGAGGAACAATAGGATTAGAGAGCAGTTAGAATTTCTCGGCATTATATTATTAAAAGTATGATGAGAGAGGAACCTTCTCCAATAAACCACGAAGAGGGCACCCCAAGGTATTGACGCTTCGATAGTGCAAAGACATCATTAATAGAAACTACCTTCAAATATTCTGTCCACTAGCGTTTGGGAATCGGTAGATATGGTGATATGATGAGGACTTTTAACAAGTAGTTCAGTGAGGCAAGTGGTATGGTGGAGGCAAGTGACACTATGACATGGAAGAATGACCAAAAAGAAACCTTTTGACGTTGAATTTAGATTCCAGAAATGATTTTGTTAAGAAGTATTTGTAAAAAAACAATAATACTTTCCAAAATGTTCTGTTTAGCGATGCAAATAATTTGCTTTGTATATTTGTGGAAATGGCAAAAAGAATAATATGTATGCCGAATACCAAACAAAGAAACTATGAGATTATGTTCGATCCATGGTAAAACATGGAGGTGTTCATGTTGTTGTTTGAAGATGTGTTAGAAATTTTGTTGTGATTAACACTAATTTTTAACGCAGGCGATTATTTCGACATTTTCGCAATTATATAAAAGTTTTATTAAATACGTTATAAAAAGTAGGTATCGAAAGTTTATAATACATTGACAAGGTAAGAATTCTTTGCTTGTGGCACCAAAATCCACAGGGGTCTTGTAAAATGCATTCAGAAGTTTTCTAACTACTCCTTGAAGTCGAAGTACTAATATAATTAATACAACAACACATTCTATAATATAGGATCCAGGACTTGAGAAATCCACCTAAAATGGTATGAGAAGATTCATAAAATGATGTAAAATGGGACAAAAAAAAAGGTTATATTAATACAGAAAGTAATAAAGGTACTTGCGATTCAGATATTGTTCATCTATATTCAAACCTAAAAAGAGAAAAAAAGTTAAAGAATCATAAGTAAGAATTTGAAAAATGACCAAACATGGAACATTAACCGAAACTTCGGACACCTATCCCATGTTTTGGATAATTTGTCGCATTTTTGGAAAAAAATATATATATTTTGGCAAAAACTTGTCCAGTTAAAAATCTTTGGTTACTTGTGAGCATGATCATTGTCTGAGAAGCCACAATGTTCTGGCACCCATTCCACTGTTACACTGTTACGTAGTTCAATATTGTTAATAGATGTATTGTCATTCTCCACGTAATATTGTTATTTAATGCCCTTATCTTTACTCTCGGTATAGTGTTATAAGTTCCTCTTTCACTCTCTCTAATAGAGTGCTAAAACAATACGGACCACGGACTGGAACATAGAAGTATATTTTCCCAAGGAGATAGATACTCATTCTAGTGGTTTATCTAATCTCCAGAAGTCTGCTCCTAAACCTATGCTATATAGGCCTGTCTACGTAAACACCATATTTAGTGTCCATAAACTTTAGAAAACTGAAGGATCAATATTCATATTCCTTATAGCGTTAGAAATCTTCAACCGATTAATATGGAGACACACTGAATTCTTCCGATGGTTTTCTTCGATGTGTTTAATAATGGTTTGATGGATATTTGATGTCTTCGATGAGTTCAGCGTTGAATTTAGGAATTCAGGATCCCAGGCCCATGGAAAGAAACCAAGTTGTACCAGGTACAAATTTTCTCTGAAACGCAGGAAACACAATCTTGTCTTTCATAATGTAAACAATACTTTTAAATACGCTATGAAATTTTACGAATTTATAACTTTATCAATAATCAATAAAATAAATAATAATTAATCAACCAATAATCCTTATAACTTTTAGATTAGAAGTTAAAAAAGAAAACTTTGTAGACTGATCTGAACCCAGGGCTTCCCAAATATCGTCGGGCCTGTTTGTCCCATCTTAAAGACAAGTTCTTAAACACAGCGCTGAGCTCGTCAATGACATCTGATCCGCCTCAAAAGTGGACTAAACGATGACATCGATTAGTTCAGCGATGAGTATTGGAACTTGCGTTAACTGTTAAGGCTAGGCTATCAAGAGTTGATTATGATTCGGTTGGACACTAACTTGTCTATCACAAGTCTTATCGACTATCAGAAATCTTATCGAATAATAAGTATCGATATTAAATACTTGGTGTCAGTAGAGATAGCATCGATACCATACTCATATCGATCGATATCAGACACATTACAGCTGATTGTGTTGTCCCGGCTCTACCGCCAAACGTCTTTATTTGTTGTGTTGTGTGTTTTGGTTTTCATGAAGAAGAATGGAACAACTTACAACAAAGAGGTTGAACGACCAGGTTTGTCAAAACTGATAAATAAAATGATATTTGATTACATCGATCCTTTATTATATATCCTAAGATACTTGTAAATTCTTTGAAGATTCCTTGTGCCCTATGTTGATTAAAAAACAAACTACGTTGTACTCTGTATCTTGCGTTTTATCCTTAAGAAAACAAATTAATTGTACAATATGTGTTACATTATATCAATTGTATCTGTGCCTGTAAATTTCCTAATTAAGTTCACTTGGTACTTAAATCCAACTTGGCACATTTATGTCAATACATAGGTAGTGTTAAAGTAAACATAAGTGCCAATGTACTAATTGATGATCGATTAGTTTTATTTATGAAAGGATGAATCTATTCAAAACATTTGTTTATTTAAGTACATACTTATACTTAAAGACTACATATACTTATGCAAAGTGATTCAAAAAGCAAATGTGTACATGATGTATTTACTATCTTGTATTAATTGTATAGAAGTGAAATTATGTCACGATATGTAATTAGTAACACATCTGGATGACAGGCCTGTGTCTCAGGATCACACAGTTCAACAAATGCTTAAGTTAGCCAAATCCATCAGTCTTTTGACTGGTTGGATCAACTTAAATTTCCCACACCAACAAATATGTGAATAAGATTGAATTGATGAGGAGATATTAATGTGGTTTAACAAACAAATATTGAATAGTGAAATAAACAAATACCAAAAATTTAGGTAGATACATTAAGATATATTTAAATCATTTGTTATCAAATCTTTTCGCACTAAGTTACTCAGGAAATCCACTCAGTGACTGTAAAAATTGATAGTAGTATATTCAAAACATTATTTCAGATTATGTTTCTGATTCATTAATAAGGACTGTCTCTTTTTTTTTTTTTTTTACAAATATCTATTAACTTTATGTGTATAGCTCTATATTACTTAATTGTCTAATAAAATTGTTCTTAAAATATGGAATTTAGAATGTTCTATTTGGTTTTTTATTTTACAGATTATTCATATGCGTAAAGAAGTAAAAAGAGCAATTGTTCATCAAATTCATCGATTGACAACTGCAGCGAAAAGGTTAAGAAATAAAAAAGGCACAGAAGAACAGAAACAAAAAAATGCCATAAAAGCAGACAATATGGTTGTAGAAATAACCATATTAAAGGTATTTTTTTATGCCTAGTTATTTTATCGTTAAATTTGTATCCAACAAGTAGAAATGGTTTGATTATGAAATTTGGTTAGTGAAACTTTTGTAGAGCTCTAATGTATTCTAATATACCCAATTTCATATTGACTAAAACAAATGCTGGTGTGTCCACTCACACGGACTTTCCTCCTATTTCAGAAAAAAATTTATATCTTTACATATGTCCATCAAGAAACAAAAAAAAAATTGAATTAGATTTATTTTTCTGGAAATTGATCAAAGAAAAGATTTGCGTACGATTTATTTGAAGAACTAAAGCAATGTAAACCGCCTTGAGGTAAAACAGTATAAAAATTTCAATACTCCCCGATATTGCTTATCAAAAACATTTTGCCATAGCCTAATTTTGTCAAACAATAATTTCTGAAAAGTATAGATCTGTCGAAAACCACATATCGTAAATTTCGCCCGATCGCAATACTTTCCTTACCTAGTATAAAAATTAAATTGACTAAATAATTCTGAAATTATTTTTATAATATGACCAATTGTACAGTCCAACCTCTATATATTTATTTATTTTTTTATCGTCACTTCAAAAAAATTGATATGTAGAAAGTTTTCATTATTCACACTATAAACAATTATAATTATTTTCTGGGGTTAAAGAAGTATCAAACTCAATTTTTTATTTTATTTTGTATTGTTTCATTGATTTGATCAAACATTAAGGATTTCAAATGGTGGACATATTTCTTACTGTAAATCAATAACTAGAAGTTGTTTATGGATTCAGTAATGGATAAAATAGAGGCAAAAATAATAAATTAAAATTAATTAATTATATTAATTAATCAAAATATTTTGATCTTTGATACTTATTAAAAAATGGATTCTTCTATTGATTTATGAAAAAGTAAACATATTTTTTCTTATTTAATTATAAATAAAAACTAAGGATCTATCCTTATTAATTACAATCATATTTTTAATGTGTCTTTTTATTATCATTCTTATCATATAAGAATTTTATTTGATGTTCCAAATATTTCTTTGTTATTTATTTATTAAGAATATATGATTCCTTAACAGAATTTAATATGTAGAGGTTTTACTGTATTTTTGGAAATTTAGAGTAATTATAGAAGTATACCTTGATTTTTTATGTATATTTTTTCTTTTTTCAGAAAATGAAACCAGACGATGTGTCTGTTTTTGGATTGACAAATTTTGAAGAAGTTGAAGTAAAAAATTTCTTAAGCAGAGTTTGTATTTTTTTTATTTTGACTTATTTTTTTATTTGTTGAAATTATGTATTTTAAGTTCTTTAACTTTTGTTTTAGCGAGTCGTTGCTCCAGAAACTAGGGCTATGGCAAAACTCTGTCTCCGTAAAAACTTGAGAAGCGTAATCGATCAATTTATTAAAGAAATCGGGTCGGTGCACAGTCGTTTAATGGATCTTCTCGATGAAAGGCAACAACATAAAGAGAAAAAAGAAAAGAAAAAATTGAAGAAACAGGAAAACAATGAAGAAATAAATCATGAATATGATAATACATCAGACTCTACATTGGATTCATCAGATGAATCTATACCTATGTTATTACCAGCAAAAAGCGATTCTGATCATGTCTCCGAAAATGAAACACTCAATTTATTAATAAATAATAAAAATGATGTCATCGATAAAATCATTGGTATTGACGATAATTTAGATCTTCCTCTGAAAGTCAAAACAAAACCTGTTCGGGAAGAGAGAAATATTAAAAATTCTTCTGATTCTGAAAGCGATAGTGATTTCGTTCAACATGTTGACAAAATAATTAATAGCGATGATAATCAAAACGTACAGGACAAACGTAAAGAAGTTAGCAAGATAGAAAGTAAGCCATTGGAAAGGAAGAATGTTGATCCTTTTTTTATGACTAGGGATAATAGTGAATACCGTACATATTGCGATATTGGAGCAAATGCAAAAAAAGAAAAAGATGAAAGTGACCAAATCAAAATCGACAATGATGATAAGAACTCTAAAAATAATTATAAAAAAGGTAATTTCAGTAAGAATAATCATTCAAAAGACAATTCTTTTAACAAAAATAAGAATAATCAAAGATTTGATAGTAGGAAGACAATCACCTATTTAGGAGGTAACGATAAAAAGTCTTTTGATAAGAAGGGATTTCGAAGAGGTGAAAAACGTCCTCACAACGAAGAACCACCGTCAAATGTGAAACTGCATCCTTCGTGGGAGGCAAAGAAAAAGTTGGCTGTTTCGACAGTACCCTTTCAAGGAAAAAAAATCACATTTGATGACTGATTTTAGTTAAGGTTATAATTGTATTTTCTTGGGAGAATTATCATTTTCCCATTCATATATTCTTATGAAAGTATAAGACTCCATTTTGGGTATTATAACTGGTTATACTACCTAAGATTTATTTAATATTATCAATCAATGTTCCTCTTATGTTGAATTATTGGTGTCATATATGTTTTGTTTTTTATTGAAGAATGGATTAACTGTTGTTCATATGAAATGTTTTTTTGTATATTTTATTATGTATTTTACTTGTAAATATAGACATTATATTTATTTGTTTTAAAATTGTATTGTTCTTATTCCGGGTTCTATTCTATTTATTTTATTTATTATTTTACTGTTTAGACACCAAAGAAATTTCCACTGTCTTTTGTTTACATTTTTGACAAATTTTTATTTATTTGGTAATAAAATGAAATCATAATAACATAAATCAAATTAATTAATAATTATTAGAATTTGAAAATCTTATCGAGAGTAAATAAATTGCCTGTGAGTAATTTCATGTTAAATTTTAGTCGTGCAAAGAAAGTAAAGAGCATTTTCTTTCCAATACTTTTCTCTTATCTAGTGCTAAATTCATCATTTTTATCTGATTAAAAATTAAATATTTAATGCTACAAAGGAAGCTCTTCTATAATGTCAATTAGTTGACTTCCAAAAGACAGATATCGTGATTAGTTCAAAGAGTATCCTACTGGCACCTAAGAACCAGAGATCAAAGTACTCAGCGATTTAAAATTTTTTGAATATTATTTGGGAAATTGAATAAAAAGGCTGCGATTTAGCCTTTATTTAGGCCCCATGTCATTATGTGATCAAGAGGATCAAAAGAGAAGATATAAAAAAAAAAAATTAATGTGCTTCTTCTATCATTCTATGCCCCTTGGCTGAATATAGTAAGCCTAATGGTTAATTTTGCCTCATGAATCTCATTTTGAAGCCCTAAAGTAATAATTATTAAATATTTATGTCTGATTTATCTGTTTTAACTTTGTTATCATTAATTTGATCTGATCTTTCAACTAGTATAACTAATTATGATAATATTAAGTATATTTAATTAAATTAATACAAAATTGAATAAATCTTTTTTTTTATAATCTACCTTTATCTTATTCTAGAAGGATAATTTTGGTTATGGTTATAAAAAAATGAGCTTTAAATATTTAAGGTTAAAATATCAGATATAGGAGAAAATTTAGATATGTTTAGAGAGAAAATAGAAGACTAACTTTTTTTTTTTCTGTTGGTATTACAGTCCTTGTAGATCTTTTACCGCCTTAACAAGCTTACTCCATCTCTGTCTATCTTGGGCTATTTCTTTCCAATTATCTGCATGCAATTCTATTATATCTTTGTTGATTCTAACTACCCATCTGATTTTTGGCTCTTTTGCTTACTCTTGAGATATTCATTTTCATATAGAGGCTTCCAGATGGATTGCTCTAAACTGCATGCCCCGACCATCTTAACATCTATATCTTCATGTCATAAGATATTGATTGATCAGTTTCTGTAAGCAGCCCTTTATTGGTCTTTCTTCTCCATATGTTAGTACTCTGATCCCAGTTGTAGGAGGAGGTTTTTGTCTGAAATTTCTGAGTTGTTTGCTAACATTACTTAACTTGACGTATTTACACATAGGGTATAATTTGAATGCTTTAATCCAATCTTGGCCGAATAAAGAAGTGACTTTGTTTTCAATCACTACCAATTTCAGTTTAAAACATTGCTTTCCTACTTTAACGGACACCGAGCATTCTCCCAACAAATTCAATAAGGAATTAGGATAAGCATTTAAATTATTGCTCTTTTGTAGTGGTGGATTTCCTATATAATTCCATTTGTTTTTCGTATAATTCTATGTGCAGCAGCTGTTTTATACTCCATTCGAATCTTTTTTTCGTTTAATTGAACCCTGATCGAGAATCGTCTGAAGTAATCATGTTGACTTTATATTCACTATGCAGAATTATCTGAACTTATCTTATTTACTGATTTTATTTTTGCCTTACTTTTATTTAGCTTCATTTTGTCATATTTCATACCTTTCCAAATGACCATAAGAATTGCAAAGCCTACACTTGTATTCGCTAGCTGGACAATTACATTTACGTTTATGTTTCTGGTACTCGCAACAAACACATTCGGTAGCTGGATCTACAATTCTAATTATTTTATTTCTCTACTCGGTCTTAGCTATCCTACAGATATGTGTTTCCTCTGCTGTACCCTCTCTGACTTTTCTTTGATTTTGAGCTAACTCAATTATAAGAGCAGATTTTTCAATTTCTTTTAGGCTTTCATTTTCCTCTGGATGATGGCAAAAAAGATTTTTCTAAAATCTTTCAATTTTTTTTCTAGAGTGCTGATTAGTAACCAGGTCTCACAGCCATATATTAGAACTGACTTTATCATAGCAATATACGCCCTTCATTTGAGATTTTGTGGGATTTCAATACTTTTAAAAGAGAGAAGAAATCTCCGCACTTGTTATATGCTGGTCTGTTTCCGACAATTGGTTATTACAGGAGTGACTTGGCAATCCTACTTGTTGGCTCTGAACCTAGCTTGTGAAGGTTGCACGTGTATGTTTTTAAAAGTATTTTTCATTTTTAAGAAGATCCCTTTTCTCTTTTGTTTTATTTTGAGAGCATGGACTTAATCAAAATAGTTGTTTTCATAAAGAACCTTTTATTATTTTTAGTTAGCTTGTATTGTCAGTGAGAATGATTTTGTAAAAAAGCATACCTATTTTTATCAGCAGTCCCTGGGAATAAGTTAGTAATTCAAAAAATAGTGCTGTTTAATTGTTTGCAATGTGGTCATCATTTACATTGTGTGGAAAGCTTGGGAGATGAGGATTATTTTTCGACACCAACTTATTCCCTATAATTGCCAATTTATTCATAAAATATTAATTATAAACTACTTTGCTGTTTCAGTTGTGCATATTTACTTAAATATTCTGTAACAACTCCAAATTTTTGTTAATGGTTACTGTATAGATGCGGTTTATTTATTTTTAGAATTTTTATGCCATTTCTATTCAATTAAATAATGGTATAGTTTTTAATAATTATAATATTTTAAATAAACTTAATATAACTTTTGGGTGATTCTAAGCAAAATGTTAAATTTGACTTTACTGTTTCAACGAAGCATATTTGTTGATTTTTCTGATGTTCCTCTGATTCCTTTAAGATTACCTTAATAATAAGATGGTACAAAGTGGCATTGCACAGTTATATCAGATATTAATTTTTCAGTCATAATCATATTGTTTCAGGGGAGAGAGAATGAATACTCTGTTGTCAAATTTCTTCATGTATTCTTAGTCAGTCAGGATATATAGGTATGACTGTGTTTTTATGTTTTTTAATTTACTTATCTTTAGGTTATTTTATTTTTTATTCACACAGTTTTTGATTATTATTTAGTTATTATTTTACTTTTTTTAATTTTATGTTTTCTGTATATATGGTCTGAATGTGTACATGTGACAGATTATTATATTTCCAAATAAATAAAAAAATAATTGCCATAATTTCGACATACGTTGTAGAGACCTTCATCAGGACATTTCATCTACCACTGCTGGAAGAAGTTTAATATTATCTATTAAAAATCTAACACTTCAATTCAGTGTTAATGCTGTTCTACTTTATTAAAAGTTTAAAAACTTTTAGATCTAAAATATTGATCTATACTATCTGCATCATTATTGTTTAATAATTAAAAACCTACTCTTTTCAAGGAATAAAAATCTCTATGATTTAATATCAAATTATCAATATACTGAATTATTACTTTGATATATTGTTTCATAAGATACATCTTCAGGATCCCCAGGCATGTTTCACTCTGGTACCCCGAGTTGAAGTGGCTTTATCCTACTTCCCGACGACAATTCCTCTTTGGAGTTTTCCTTTTCCAAGTCTTCAGAACCAAAAACCATCCCTACATCCTGGAACTCACTCTCTGCATTCCTCTATCCACTCTCTTAATACCAGGTCTCAACCTATAGACTTATATATCCCCTCCCATAAAACTTCTTCCTTCAGCAAATCCTTCGTCACTCGTTCTGCTTCCTTATGGAACTCTCTTCCTACCTCCATACGCCAATCCTCGTCCCCAAATTCCTTGAAACAACTTCTGTTCCACCATCTACTCCTCATTTAAACTTGCGCAAACATGTAAAATTATTTGCATCTGTACACTGTTTAATTTCAATCTACTGCACAATTGCAATAACAATTTACAGTTAATTAGTTTGTATTTTTTATTATTCTAAGTGAGACTAAGACCCATAAATTTATAACTCTGTTATTATTCTTAGGGGACAGTAGTCCCAGAATAAAATTATTTTTTCATTTCATTTCATATCATATATATTTGAAAAAGTATCAATATGTTATATTTTTTAATAATTGTATCCCGCTATACAGCTGTACAGCAGAAATTGAAAGATCTAACTTAATCAACAGGTTGAGACTGGTTTCTTTTTACAATTTTTAAACTGATTACAATTTTTCTTTAACTTTAAATTTGGGAAACTTTCATAACATATTTGGATAACATCAGTGCACAGAGCTCATGGTCCATAAAGGGTAGCTCATAACAGTTTAAGTGTTTTGGATTTTATAATTACGCACTTATTCCAGATTTATTACTTTCTGAGCCATAACTAAGTCTAAAATTGAGGTAACCAATACAGCATTAACTAATATTTTGTCTTATCTTAAAATATTGAATAAGAATATACCTTGGGTGACTTTGAAAAGGATCGGAAAAGTGAGAAGGTTGTATTGAAAAGTCGTTCATTATTATATCATTGTTTGAAAACAGCAATGAATGACAACAGAACAGTGAGTAACATTTATCGTCCATAAATATACACTTCAAAAATCAAATTCTCACATCTCATCTTAAATAACAAAACATAAATATTTCTCCTGCTCAATCATCGATATAAATTTAATAATACTTTTTTTTTCTGATTTTATTGTTTTTAATTTTTTTTTTGTTCTTTATTTTATTATACATTCATTTGTAGAAGTATAATGCAAATTGAAATTTAGCTCAATATACACATTTGCAGATATAATCACATATAGTAGAAAATGAAATTCTAGATTTTTTTTTAATATTATAACAATTATTCAAAGAAATAATATCAACAACTATCCAAAATAAAAAACAAAACAAAAATAACACAAACAAACAATATTTTAACAACAGGCGTTTAATAGCATAATGTATATAGGCCATTCATCTAAAGAAAAAGACAAAATAAAACTTGAAGGCCGATCTAAGGAGATATGCTTTTTTTTTTCTAACATTTCTTAAAAATAAACAAAAAAAAAAGAAAGAAAAAAATCAATAAAAATTATAATATAATAATATACTGTACAATAAATCGTAAACTGTAGCAACTTAGGAATGCTAAAAGTGCATAATATTTAAACAGGAATAAAACAAGTAACTATTTACATTTTCACAACTAGGGAATAAATTCATCTTTTATTATTCAGTTCAATCATTCCTTCTAAAATATTTTAAATATCACTGAGTCATGTCCTTCCACGTAATTTCACCTTAAAATGCCTTTATGTTTATTTTTTAAAACTTTATTATTTTTATTTTCTTTTGACGAAGTTATCAATTCTCCATTTTCAAACTCCTTGTCATATTAAAATATCACAACACCTGAAATTCCCAGGAATTTAATTCCTATGACCTGAAGTTGATTTCATTTTTTTTTTTTACTTTTTTTTTCTGTTTCTGTTTGTTATGTTAATTTTTGTGCATACTGATAGTTAAAATACGTACAACACTGAGAGTATGTTAAGTTTATTGAACTTGCACTATGGTGGTACTTTTGTTAATCTATTAATGTGCTTAAACTAGTTTGAAGGAAATCACTTTTTAGAAACTTTTTTTAATACATTTAAACTTTTCTCACCTTTTTCATATTTTATTATTTGTCGAATCATTGTGACCAGTTACATATCGACATAAGTGAACTAGATGAATATTTAAGACACAAAAATATAAATTGATTCGAAAGATAAAAGTATGTGAAAAACATCAATAGCTGAATTACTTTAAACTTAGTGTATTTTTTTTTTTTTTACTTTGGGAGAGGGTGACTCGGGTTACCTAATTAATAGTATAAAACACCCTAAAATTATATTATACATTTTCAAAAAATGGGGAATAAATTTTGATTTTGATAAATTCTTAAATTTAAAATCTAATCTTTATTATTAATATTAATTTTATTTACACATTTATAATAAATTCAAGGACAACATGAATCCCACTTCTTTTTTTTTTTTTTAGTTTTTTTTCTTTTAGAGAACTGTGGAATTTTAATAAAATCAACAAAATAAGTTCAAATTATTCGGCCACAAAATATTATTGTGTGACACAAAAAATATATATACCATATTTAAATTTGGAAGTATACCCACATTTAAACTATCCTATCTTATTGTATAACTTATAGTTTACATTCCCAGCAAACTAACTTTGTCATGTATAATGCATAATTATAATTTCATTACTATTTCTCCTTTAAGATATGTAATGCTCTGAATTTGAGAGGATTTTTTTTTTTTTTTGCTTTTTTTATATTTTAATAATTTCTGCTGGATTTATATGGTGGAGTGTTGCAGTTTGATATAATTTTGCATTATACAAGGACAGACCCTTGAGAGAGATAGACTGGGAAGTGCAACGGGACTGTCAGTCTGTGAGCAAGTGGGAGAGGCCCGCTGGTCAGCCCCTCATGTGAAGATGAGGTGGCCGAGGATGCCGATGAAGATCACCGCCGCTGTTGCTGTCCTCGGAGGGAAGCAGGCAGAGAGCCCCAGGCCGGCGGAGAGAGGGCCCCACCACCTTCCTGGGATCGGAGAGGCTGAATTCTTGCCGCGCTGCATCGCTGCTGGGTGCTCTCCTGGCCCAAACAGAACGACACTAAACACTCTGTTACTGCATACAATTTTTATATTGCTCATCAAGTGGAACAATCAGGCAAATGGAAAAATGTTTTAACATGTTAAATTGTCATAAAGATGTGTTAAATTGAATCAACATCATAGTAGTCCGCGATACAGACCCCTTTTTATCAAATCATCAACATACAGCTGAAACTTCGTAAATAGCTTCTTCTCATCGTAACCTACAAATAATATATTTACATTTTCTAGTCACATCCTTCAGGTTGGTGCCATTTTCTCATAATTTTTTTTTAAATACATATTTTAGGCCAAAGGTCACCAAATATACAGTTTTTTTATCTCCTGTATTCTTTATTCAACGTTTCGGCTTCAGGAGCCATTTTCAAGATCCTGCAAAACTAATTTCAATTTAGTTTTTACAATTCAAATACATCCTTATCAGACACATATTATTTAACAACTATCAGTAATACAAATAGTCCAAAATTTATTTTGAATTTTGAATAAATTTATATCACCGCGCCTTAAAATTTTTAAAATCTATCATTGCGATATGATTCGTCCTTTAGTCATTCTTTTATTTCAAAGAATGTCGTTTTTTCACTTCTAAAACATTGTAATACATAAATAATAAATTAAAATAGATTGTTAATATTATTTTTAAAAAGAATATTATTAATTCTCGATTTATGTACCTCTTTCGCAGACGATATCAAGAAAATTGTTGCTCCTCACTAGGGCATTCATACAGGACTGGATTTACTTACAAAATGACGAATCATATCGCAATGATAGATTTTAAAGACTTTATGGCGCAGTGATATAAATTTATTCAAAATTAAAAATAAATTTTGGACTATTTGTATTACTGATAGTTGTTAAATAAGATGTGTCTGATAAGGATGAATTTGAATTGTAAAAACTAAATTAAAATTAGTTTTGCAGGATCTTGAAAATGGCTCCTGAAGCCGAAACGTTGAATAAAGAATACAGGAGATAAAAAAACTGTGTATATTTGGTGACCTTTGGTCTAAAATATATATATATAAAAAAAAAATTATATTTACAAATATTCTCGGAATTAGGGCGTTTTCAATCTGGAGGTCGGCAAACTTTGTCTATTTAATTAGGTACTAAAAACTCGTAAATACCTATTTGCGTTCCACTTGAATCGCAAAATAACTTGAGCACAAAGTCAAGATAAAAGGTGGCCTTCAAAAATATTGGGTTACTTGGCCTATATAATCTCGTTATTTTGACAATTTGGAAGTGTAGGTCACGTGAAGCGGCTCAATATTTTTATGCTCAAGTTATCTTATGAATGTAAATGGGTACTTATGAGTTTTTAGTACCTAATTAAATAGATAAAGTTTGCTGACCTCCAGATTGAAAATGTCCCAATTCCGAGAATTTTCGTAAATAAAATATTTGTAGGTTACGATGAGAAGAAGCTATTTATGAAGTTTCAGCCGGATGTTAATAATTCGATAAAAAGGGGTCTGTAGCACAGACTATAATATAAACAATTCAGGAAGAGCCTTGGGTTCAGTAATTTGTAAGGATTATGAAGGGAGGTGATTATACTCAACTACCAGGTTTTCTCCATTCATTAATTGTTTAATTAAGAGTACCCACTTTATAGAGGCTGGATGTGCCCCAGGATGGTCTCCTGATCTCAGGGTCAATCTACGACTGATGTAACAGAATAAATAATTATTTATTCTGTCAAACCATATCATACCATTTACCTGCCATCAGCTGAACTTGAACCCAGGACCAGTGAAGTCAGTGTCTTACCCACTGAGATACTCCACTCCGTAGGTAATAATAATTTTAATTATTTTGTCTCTCCCATAATGTTTTATGATTTGGAGTTACCTCTTTGTTCCACCAGATGATAGATATGTTAGTTGTTATTTAATGAAATAACATAATAATAATTTTAAAAAAATTATTCAAAAACTCATGTTCAAGACTTTCATGTTAGTTTTACATACCAATCAATGAATTGCTATTGTATTGCAAAAGATATTAACACCTGTAAGGTTTCTGTATGTTTTTAAAAAAATTTGTTTTTGTTTATTTGATTTGTCATGTTAATCCAAGCTAAAAATTATGAAGATGTAAAATTTAAAAAGTAAACATCACTTACTGATAAAGCAATTATTGAATAAAAAATATCTACCACAATAACCTCTAAATCACCATTTTTTATTTAGGTCATCTGTGTCATTTATATGTACTACTGTTCACCAAGTGGTCGAAATTTGATCATAACCATTATTGAACATTTGATGAAAAAATAAGTGAATTTGCATGTGAACTACATTTTTTTCTACCCTTATGTATTCGTATCATTGGTGATTCAGGACACAGTCATTTTTAATGTTTTTATTTGTGCCGATGTTTCAACCCAAACATGAAGGTCATCATCAGGATGTATTTCGAGCACTGAACATATTCAAGTGCTCTATTCAGTACTTATATATTCGTCCATTCGTTTTTACATGTACTTACAAACGAAAACAATACAGTATCATTTGTGTACTTTTGAGTAATTGACAAATAAAAATGTGTATCCATTGTTACTTTTTTCAAAAAAATATTTGAGCCCCTTCGCTCATTTGGTGTAAATTTGAGGCAAACCAATTTTATTGTTGGATTGTTATGAAAATTCGTATATTTAAGAGTTTTTTCCGGATCCAAAGTACAAATCTGAATTTCGTTTCTCCTAAAAAAAATATTTGAACGCTCTTTGCTCCTTCTGTCAGTACAAATCGTTTCATTTCAACACTGTACTCATATTATAGCATATATTCCAAATATAAAATTTTCATCATGCTCTCCGAAAAAAAAGCTGAAAAAATCTATTCTATCTTAATTTTTTTTTTTTTTTATATACTTTATGGTTAATCAATTATTTCTTTTAGAAATCTAATATTTCAGTTTAGCATCTATATTGTATTTACCATAAATTTTTTATATTTTATTAGTATATCTGTTTATAATTTTTTAGACTGTTTCACTATAAATTTATAATTTGGTAATGTACTCTACAATATTGAAAAATTTTACTTGTAAACTTTTATTATTAATAGTAACATTTTAGAGGACACCAACATTTTAAAAACTATAAGATTAGTTTATCTAGATCTTAAGAAATAAAATTACCAAAAAAAAATAAATATTTAGTTGATTAATTATATTCTTGTCAAATGAAAGGTCAAGAATTAATTTCTGGATATCATAAGATTGTTGATATTAATACCTAATGAAAACTGAACACATAAAGGGCTTCTATTCTCAACAGTTCAAAGTACATTTTTTTTTTTTTAAGGAAAAGGATACTGTTCAGTTTGAAAATTGTATGTATAACTATTTCTAGCTAATTATAAAATTGTAAGTTTTCACAAGTTGTGATGCTTTAATAGTTATAAATTTTCTAATTAATAGTTTCATATGAAAAGATTATACCATTATAACTATTTACTCTTCACAAATAAATTAAAATATGAATAAATACACACAAAGGGAGGCATTTAAATTTATCAAAGAGAGAAATTTATCTAGACAAAAGACAAACATCACTGACAAATACATTTAACTTTGACTGGATTCTTTTTGAACCGTATCATACATTCTATCTCAATACAGCTGATTTGAAACCATCCGGTTTGCTCTGGGACAATGGGATTAATCATGGCAGGAATTAGCTTTGTTATCACTACAATGATATATTCTGATATAGAAGGAACGATTGCTGCATCCATTATCAAAAATAAAGATCAAATAATCATTACTAAAGTTAATTATCATGAGGAACAATAGGTATGAGAAACTATAAACATTGAATAATAAAGAATTAAAATAAAAAAGTGAAAGGTTATAGACTAAAAAAATGTAGGTAGAAAAAAATTTAAAGTGAAATGAAGTAGATAGAGTGAAAATTAAAGTAAATTTATTTATACTTTACGTAGGTAGAATAATAAAAGTAACAGAGAACTAAGAAATAAATAATAATAACGGCAACAAAGAACGGACTAATGAAATAGACATAGTCAAAATAAGCTAACATAAAAAATAAAAATTGGTAATCTTAGAATAAAATATAAAACAGAGAAAAGGAACATGAAGTTATATAAGAAAATAATAAATAGAAATAGAAAATTGAGATATTGTAAAATCTATCAATATATACTGAGTACGTATAAGAGAATAAAAAGTTATAATAATGTAAAAAAGATAAATGAGCAAATGTATCTGTTTTACATTTTATTCTAAGATTACCATTTTTTATTTCTTATGTTACTTTATTTTGACTATGTTTATTTCATTAGTCCGTTCTTTGTTGCCGCTATTATTATTTATTTCTTAGTTCTCTGTTCTTGTTATTATTCTACCTACTTTATTATACTTTAATGTTCACTCTATCTACCTCATTTTACTTTAAGTTTTTTCTACATTTTCTACATTCCATTCTATTCTACATTTTTTTAGTCTATACCTTTCACTTTTTAATTTTAATTCTTTATTATTCAATCTTTATAGTTTCTCATACCTATTCTTTGTTCTTTTCTTAGCCCTGATGAAGGCCTGAACTTAGGGCCAAAACGTCGGCAAATGTAAATATTATTATTTATTTTTGCTATTTTTTATTTTGACTGATCACCCCATGCTTCTCTTCAACTTTTAACTTTGACTTTGATGCAACACAAGACTAAGGGTCTCCTGTGAGATTTATCTCTTTGTACGGGACCTTTAGCAGTTATATCACGCTAGAGGAAATTCAGCATAGATTTAACAAGTTTTAATCAGATAAATAAAGATATTTTAGTCAAAGTGTATTCTTTTGAATTATCCTCACATTATTTATAGGATTGGGAAGAGCCTTAACTGTTCAATCTGGTGGCAGCGATTATATGTTTGTCATAAAGATTCAACCTTTTTTACTGTCCTAATATGACAATACCGAAGTTATAGAAAAATGGCATATAAGTACTCTTATATTAAATCCTCTGACATTTTACATTTTCAGATTCGTCTTTCCTATTTTAGCAGAAACACAGCTTAGTTTGAAGAAGAATTCAATGTATTTTTTATTACTCAAAAGTGTATAATTATAATTTTTCCTACTGTACATAGTTTTAAGTGTCTTGTCATAGTTTTAAGTGTTTTGTTTATAGATTTTTTTTTTTGTATATAGCCTGTTTAACAAATATTTTCTCTTTTTTTATTATTGTTTTATTTTGGCCAGATGTAGTCTTTTAATTATGTACTATTTTGTTATTCTAAAGGGACTTTGTCCCAGAATAAAGTTATTTTCTATTTCTATTTCCTAAAATGATGTATAAATTACATAAAAATATCTTTTTTAACAATGAACTAGATGTTGAATAATTAAGATTGAAAGAGTTAATTTAATGAGCAATGTTAATCTTGAAGTTGCGGCGTCCCCTCCCCCACCTCACCATACACAACTTCTTAACTCAACCCACTCTCAACTTTAGAGGTGTAAGTGGATCAACTCCAACCGCGGGCACTGAGCTGTTTGTTTACAGCGCCAGTGTGTGGAGAGATTATTAACATGACATTAGGGATGGAATGGTATCCAATTGTTAATAGTAAATACTTAATAAAAAATAGATAAATATGAACAAAAAAAAAGATTAATAATTATCTAAGCGAGAAAAAAAGAGAAATATGTTTGCAGGCTGAAAAGAAATTTTCGGAAACAAGAGTATGATATATTGATTGGCCTATGCGAATAATTCGCAAAGAATAA